TTATTTTGCATGCATAGTGATGCAATAAATCCTCAAAGGGTTCTTTTCCAATATCGGGGGAGCGGTCCGATTATCGGGGGAGCGGAAGGAAAATGGGGGGAGCGAAAGGAAAATCGGGGGAGCAAATTTTGCCCCCTCGAAAAATGCATTTCTGGGACTTTTATTTTAACTGCAACGTTTTTTTTTTTAATTTTTTGGCAGCGCTACATATGTCCTATATTATCCAAAGAAAAAAGCGAAAGGAAAGGTTTTGTTTTGGTTACTTTTGTTTTATTTTGGTTACTTTTCTTTTTGTTTTGGTTACTTCGCTTACATTTCTTTCGTTGTTATGATCAATTATACTATTAATGAATAAATTTTTAGGTAGCCATTTGTTCGTTCGGGATTGTGGAGCGTTCGGCAAAAAGAGAAGGCGGCCGATAGGGAAGGTAGAGGTATGTTTGGTGTTAGATATTTAAGTCACTTTTGTGATCTAATATAAAGGTTGTGAGAATAACGGGTAATTCGCGGATTTTATGGCAGTACTTTGGATAATATAGGACATATGTAGCGCTGCCAAAAAATTAAAAAAAAAACGTTGCAGTTAAAATAAAAGTCCCAGAAATGCATTTTTCGAGGGGGCAAAATTTGCTCCCCCGATTTTCCTTTCGCTCCCCCGATTTTCCTTCCGCTCCCCCGATAATCGGACCGCTCCCCCGATATTGGAAAAGAACCCCTCAAAGAAAATACTCGTTTGAAGCAAAAGCAATTTGATATTTTGCCTTTGAGCTATTTTTAAATATGGTTTTTAACAATTTTTCTTTATTTATTGAGTAGTTTATCGCTAAAGTAATGAACAAGACGCATTGTCATTTTGGTCTTGTTCATTACTTTAGCTTCTGTTACCAATCATTCATTGAGTTATTTAGGAAATGAAAGTCTTCCAATCGCTCAGCTGCTCTGCAGCTCTCTCTAATTCTCTGCAAGGCACCATGTGAGTTCTTAAAAGTTAGCTAGCTTTTTCGTTAAATAATTACTTGTTCGCTTCTAAAAACATGTAGTTAATGTTTAGCTTGTTAAATTTTCAGTTGACTGAAAAGCCAGACTCGATCGAGGATTGGAATGTGGTCTTGTGATATGCCATGGATGTTGTGAGAAGGAGAAGGCGTTGAAGAAAGACAAAAGGAAGCATCAATGTGGCTGCAAAAACTACCTCCAGAATGCAACAACTACCTCCAGAATGCAAAAACTACCTCCAGAATGCAACAACTACCTCCAGAATGCAAAAACTACCTCCAGAATGCAAAAACTACCTCCAGAATGCAAAAACTACCTCCAGAATGCAAAAACTACCTCCAGAATGCAAAAAATACCTCCAGAATGCAACAACTATCTCCAGAATGCAACAACTACCTCCAGAATGCAAAAACTACCTCCAGAATGCAAAAACTACCTCCAGAATGCAAAAACTACCTCCAGAATGCAACAACTACCTCCAGAATGCAAAAACTACCTCCAGAATGCAACAACTACCTCCAGAATGCAAAAACTACCTCCAGAATGCAACAACTACCTCCAGAATGCAACAACTACCTCCAGAATGCAAAAACTACCTCCAGAATGCAACAACTACCTCCAGAATGCAAAAAACTACTTCCAGAATGCAACAACTACCTCCAGAATGCAAAAACTACCTCCAGAATGCAAAAACTACCTCCAGAATGCAAAAACTACCTCCAGAATGCAAAAACTACCTCCAGAATGCAAAAACTACCTCCAGAATGCAACAACTACCTCCAGAATGCAACAACTACCTCCAATTTTGTTTTCTACCTGATTGGTAAGTTGTTTAATTTGATTGTGGCCTGTACATAAAGCTTGTACCCGGATGGAAACGGACAAAACGAAGTGGAACAAAAGCAAAGTATCCGCATAGCTTCACATATCCAATTTATTGCGTAAATACTTGTTTCAATGTCTGTGTGCTGAAGGATCGATTTCAAGGTACAGTCATGGACAAAAGTCTTTTAACGTTGGTTTTTAGAAGTTTGTTCTTTATATATCTTGATCCAAATCCGACCAATTTGCAAACGATTAAGGTACATTTAAATTTTAGGTTTAAAGAGCTTATTATCTCTAATTTTAACATTACAAAAAGATGGATTTGACAATTTATCAGGTGTCATCAACTTTTTAAATTACAGTTAGCAACCAGAAATCAAAAGGAAAAAGACAGAAAAAGAGGAAAAAGGAAAAGAGGAAGTTCTCGAAAAAACTGTGATGTTAAAAGACTTTTGTCCATCGATTTTTGGCTAAATTTTTGTTTTTTTAAAAAGCTTATGACATATTATAAATCATTGAATCTAATGATTGAATTTAAAGAATGAAGAATGCAATCTAATCATTGAATCTAATCTAGGCTAAAACTAGTGATAATACAGTCATGGACAAAAGTCTTGGCGGGTCCTGGGTTGCAACTTTCAAACGCAAATTTAGGAACCTTCCCGAGAGGCTATAAAAAAGTTGTCACAAGTATTTTTGAGCATTTTTACTCTACTTTTAGCTATGACCAAGCATTGAACTCGAAAGTTTATTTTAGACAACAAAAATAAACGTCAAAGACAAAAAGGTCACAAAAACAGTGGACAAAAGTCTTGGCGGCACATACATAGGAGCTAAAAATTCAATATTTTGTAGGTCCGTCTTTAGCTGCAATGGCCGCTTGACCTTAAGCTGCAATACTGTGAACTAGATCGCGTAAAATTTGTGGCGCAATGGTGGCCCAAACTCGCCGTACGAAGTACCTTAGAGCTAAACCGTCTTCCCTTGAGTTTCGTCTTGATAAAAGCACATGGGTGTCCAATAACATTCAAATCGAAGCTGTATGGAGAAGCTGAAACGAGTTGAACACGATTCGCGCGGAACCATCCGAGTAGTCGAACACTTCCTCCATTGGCAAGTCGAATAGTGTGGCCCATAAGCAACTGACTTTTGTGGCAAAGAGCGTTGTCCTGGTAGAGGAGCCATCCTTGTCCCAATTTGGCGGAACGCATAGATCAAATGGAAGGAAATTCAACTTTGTGATAATTGCGTGGAGGTAGTAAAAATTTAAAGTTTAAGCAAATAAAGTCAAGTTGCAGGGAAGTATTAGCAAAATGTATCACGGTGATAAATGGATTTTGAAGGTTAGTGGCTTAGTAATATACAATGAATTTATTTGTTTAGATTTGCTCAGTTTGTGTTATTGTGTAGCATCGATTTCATGAGCATCTATCACGAGATAACTCGTAACTCGACTTTTGGAAAAGGAAGTGGGGTTAAAGTTAGCATTACCTACTTATTTGTGCGTTTTCCGAATAATCCTCAAATGAAATGGGCCTGAAAATGATAGCTATTGTATTTTCAAACTTGGCGCAGGTTTGAAATAATAATTGCTCTAATGGAGAACTTTAGAACTACTTAATCAGCTACTGAAGCAAGAATCAGAAGACTTTGCTGATTGGTTTAGTTGCGCAAGGGGCTACGAATCGCTTATCTGGATGTCACACTAGAGTTTTTAAGGTGCAGATTTCGATTTTCGCGAAAATAATTGTACTCGATGTGCACTGTCAGAGTTTGCGACGATTCTGAGAAAGAAGAAGTTCCAATCCAAAGAAGAAGTTCCGGTCACTGTCTGCAAACGGAACTTCTTCTTTGGATTGGCTTTAAATGGTACAGTAAGGTTTTGAAAATTTTTGAATCCGGATGGCTATTGGGTTGGTGAATTGAAAACTGCCGGCTATTGTCATATGTGACAGTTTGAGCACTTTCTTCAAAAGAAACCCATTCTGGTGTCAATGGAAAAGTTGTAGAGAATCAAAAATTAAGCTTATATCCAAATTTTCAGAACGATTCAAAAACTGGTTTTCAAGAAATGCCAAATTTACGAATTTTCACAAAACTGGCAACAAAATTTGCATTTTAAGCGAAACTACTAAGTGTATCTTTTTGGAAATTTGGCTATAAGTCTAATTTTTGATTCTCTACAACTTTTCCATTGACACCAAAATGGGTTTCTTTTGAAGAAAGTGCTCAAACTGGGAGATCTCCAGATCTCCAGTCCTCCATTTTTGAGTCTCACACTTGTCTCACACACAAACCAAAATCCTACTACGAAAGAGGAATCCGCAAATTGCCTGTAAAATGGGCAGAAGTCGTCAATAATAATGGAAATTATTTGGGATGAATTTATAGTTTTATATTGAATAAATTTTCGTTCAAAGTTCCGCAGTTTTCAATTCACCAACCCAATATTTTCACATTTCCTAATCTTATTATTTATTCGGAAAATGCACAAATATATAGGTAACTAGATGAAGTGCTTAAACAAACGTTTATCTACTTAAAGGGAACATGTTTGAACGATCTTATCACCTCTACGATTAATCTTATCACAAAGATCATTCTAAATCTGGTTTCCGTTGTAGATTTCAGTTTTTATCTTATACTTCCTGAAAAGAATCTTTCTCCCAAAGAAAGATCTCATTTCGTTCGATCTCATCTCAAAACGGGCATCCCAAAAATTTGACACCTTTGATGATCGATGGGTTACCTTTACACTCAAAGTCGTCAAGCATCCTTTTGGTTGGTTCAACGTCAACCATCCACTTGCACAAATCCGTCATTTATCTTTCTTTCATTGATTTGTTTCATTGTTCTACCAGCGGTTCAGCTTTTATTTTGTGCTCTGCTTTGTAAATGGACCTTTTCTCGTGCACTAAACTCCTCATTTTCTTCTGACAATTCTTCTGACATTTATTCCTCGCTGGTAGAGCTGATCATGAAGGATTCAGTGCACCAGATAGTCTGTAGTCGGTAGTCTGATAGAAAAGGATACCCTTCTCAATCATTATCCCAGATCACTTACGAATCATTATCCCAGATCACTTACGAATCATTATATCATTATAAATTGCGAATCATTTATACCAGATCGCTTGTGGTTGATCGAGGGAAACGCGAGAATTTACGAGATTTCATTCATGTGTAGCGGGGCGGTCAAAATGATTGGTTGTAAAGAAGTCCCTGTTCGAGAAGAGAAATATTACAAAGAAAAGAAAAACGATGAGCAAAATGGAAAGATTGAAGAGAAAGAAAGAGAAAGAAAGAGATAGGAGAAAGAGTGGACAAAGCTTATATTTTCCCCAAGGATTTTCTCCTTGTTCCTTTGATGAGAGAAGCTGAGAAACGTTTCCCACAAAAACTCCGCCCATTTTGCTCTTTTTCCGTTCATTCATGAGTATCTATAAGCTTTGTTTTTAACACAATTGTTGTTAAATGTTGTTGTTAAAGTTAAATGTTAAGTTAAAGTTGAAGTTAACGTTGTTAACTGTTAATTGTTGTTAGTTGTTAAGTTGTAAAGTTGTTAACTGTTAGAGTTGTTAACTGTTAATTGTTAACTAACTTTTAGAGCTTTTAAATTCATCAATTTTAGGATCATTCATTCATTCACAACTACCCCGAATAGCTATTTGACTTATTTAACTTATTCACAAGTACCCGAATAGCTAATAGCAAGGCTAGGCAAAGCTTTGGCTAGGCTTCGGCAATTTTCAGTCAAGCTAGTTGTAAAGCTGCTTGTTTTTAGCAGCTTTCCCTATTGAAAATTGTTTAAAAATTCCTATAATCTGAGTTATAAGCTTTGTTTTTTTTTCATTTTTACTAAAACATTTGAAACTTTCTTTTTTTTAATCAACTTGAATAGCTTTTGAATCTGAAGCACTTTCTTCATTCTACATTCTCAAACTTCAATAAGTTTCATCTCATCTTTAATCCTAGGCAAAGCTAGACAAGGCTAGGCAAGGCTAGGCAAGGCTAGGCAAGACCAGTTCATGCTAGGTAAGGCTAGGTAAGGCTTCCCATCCAAATCCCATCCAAAAGCTTGCTGAATTTGACTTAAATCATACTTTTGATTGACTAAAAATGAGTAAAATTGGATTTTATTTTAAAGTGACTTAAAGTTGTTAACATTAGGCGTATTTGTTTGTTTGTTTGTTTGTTTGTTTCCTTTTTAGCATTAAACTTGTACAAAATGAGCTCTAAATCTGCAGATCTACTGGTTCCTATAGATTTTGGGCACTCTGTAGATCAAGTAAAGCAAGACTAGGGGATTTTGCATCAAAGTCTAGCCAGCATCTGACTTCTGACCTGGTCTAGCTTTGCCTAGCCTTGCCTGGCCTTGCCTGGCCTTGCCTAGCCTTGTCTAGCCCTACCTAGCCTTGCCTAGCCTTGTCTAGCCTTGTCTAGCCTTGTCTAGCCTTGCCTAGCCTTGCCTAGCCTTGTCTAGCCTTGTCTAGCCTTGTCTAGCCTTGTCTAGCCTTGCCTGGCCTTGCCTAGCCTTGTCTAGCCTTGTCTAGCCTTGCCTAGCCTTGCCTAGCCTTGCCTAGCCTTGCCTAGCCTTAAAAATATTCATTATACGAGAAATAAGAAAGAGATGTATAATACTTATAATATAAATAAATTGAAGCCTAAGCCTAAGCCTAAGCCTAAAAAGCTTAACAATTGCTATTTTCCACGAAAACTAGCCGCCTTCCCTCTTAAAATGCCCTTAAAAAAGCCATGTCTTTCTCAACATTGGAAACACATCCTTTCTAGTGCACTCAATCACTATATTTTTCTTGTGACATTGAGTTGTAGGTGTGGTGAATTTAATGCGCTTTCAAAAAAAATGTATCGCAATTTTTTGGTACACGATTTATTTCATAATTAACTCAATTTCAAAAAATCATTTTTCATTTTTAAAAATCATACTTTCTTCATTTAACATTGAACACTTTTGAATTATTCGATAAATATTCAAATTTCAGATCGAACGATCCCTTCTGTTGTGTGGTGGTGTTTTTCTTTTCCATTTCTTCTTTCTCTATTCTATAATTTTGCTTTTCAATCGACGATTCTCTGTGATCTCTCCAATTTCTCCATTTCAACTTTCGCGATTTTCAATTCTCTTTTCCCGGATTCGACCACACGTCGAACAGGTAAAGATTTGCATAGAAAATCGGGAAATCAAAGGAGAAACTGGGTTAGTATTGATAGTATTGATAGAATGGGAATTTGATTTTATGAAGAGTCATTTTATTACTACAAAGCTACAAAGAAAAGCTAAAAAGCTTTTTATGAGCTCCTGTCCTGTTCTAGGATATCGTTAAGGCTTTGGATAGGTTAAAGAGATAGAAATTATTTAAAATCATTTAAAATCCCTAACTGTTTCAGAAGTATTTGGTTGGTGAATTGAAAACTGCGAGACTTTGAACTAAAATTTATCCAACAACAAAAACCATCAATCTTTTCATCAATTTCTTCATTCCAAATAATTTCCATTATTATTGACGACTTCTGCCCATTTTAAAGGCAATTTGCGGATTCCTCTTTCGTAGTAGGATTTTGGTTTGTGTGTGAGACAAGTGTGAGACTCAAAAATGGAGGACTGGAGATCTGGAGATCTCCCAGTTTGAGCACTTTCTTCAAAAGAAACCCATTTTGGTGTCAATAGAAAAGTTGTAGAGAATCAAAAATTAGGCTTATAGCCAAATTTCCAAAAAGATACACTTAGTAGTTTCGCTTAAAATGCAAGTTTTGTTGCAAGTTTTGTGAAAATTCGTAAATTTGGCATTTCTTGAAAACCAGTTTTTGAATCGTTCTGAAAATTTGGATATAAGCTTAATTTTTGATTCTCTACAACTTTTCCATTGACACCAGAATGGGTTTCTTTTGAGGAAAGTGCTCAAACTGACAATAGCCGGCAGTTTTCAATTCACCAATCCAATAGCTTGAGATTAGCCTTGATTTGAGGAGAAGTCAATGTCCAATTTGAGGATTCGGAGCCGGCCAGATTAGTTTCGTAAAGGGAGAGGGAAGGGGGTTATGTAAAAGCCCTGCGCCAGACGACGAGCGATTACGAGGCCGCGTAAAGAACCCACAGAACACACAGATTTTAAGCGAAACTACTAAGTGTATCTTTTTGGAAATTTGGATATAAGCTTGATTTTTGATTCTCTACAACTTTTCCATTGACACCAGAATGGGTTTCTTTTGAAGAAAGTGCTCAAACTGTCACCTATGACAATAGCCGGCAGTTTTCAATTCACCAACCCAATACAAAGCTACAAACAAAAAGCTAAAAAGCTTTTTATCAGCTCCTGTTCTTGAAGATGCAGCTTTAAAATAGACTTTCTTGTGTCCAATAAAGTGACCAATAAAGTCCAATAAAGGAATAAAGTGTACAGTAAAGTGGCTGTTCTTTCGGAGTCTCGAAATCAATTCGATTTCATTTCAAAATGTATCAGATTGGATTTGATTAGAAATGCTTTATGCAAGTTGTACAAAAAAGTGATTCGAAACTTGGCTTAGCTCTATTTTTCCCGATTTTTATGTGCTCAAGAGGGTAAATTCCTAAATTCAGTCGAAATTCGCGACATTAGCGACATTTTGAGCGTACAATCGCGTAGTCGATAATTGCTTTAGTGAATTTTGGTGTAAATTCGAAGATAAACGAAACTATTGTACTCATTTGATAGCCTTGAATCTCTGAAAAGTAAAATAATTGAAAACTAGTACAAAATTGAGATTTTTCTGCAAAATAAATAACAAAAGTCATTTAAAAATGAAAAGAATTGAATAAGAAAAGAATAAACCAAAAAGAATCGTCATTAGTACAACCGTAGTCGTAGGTCGTGGGTCGTAGGTCGTAGCTATGAGCAGCTTTGTTATTTCAAACAATTTTGGGCCGGTTTACTTACCAAATCTAGACTTGATCCTTACTCGGAGTAGTTTACCAGATGCTACTTTTAGAAAGGGATAAAGAAAGAACGCACAAGCATTGTACTTTGGCTTTGGCTAATGTCTAACGGCTTTGGCTAACGTCTAACGGCTTTGGCTAACGTCTAACGGCTTTGGCTAACGTCTAACGGCTTTGGCTAACGTTCAAATGTTCAGCGTGCCAAGAGTTCACAGCGAAATACTTCTGATCAGGGAATGATCGCAGCTCAAAGTTTGGAATCGACTGGAAACACAGTGCATAACATAGAATCGACAATTGCGAACAAAACGCCGTAAAAATTAGCCGCTAATAGCCGCTACTAGCCACGAAAACGCAAGAAATCTGGAAAACAAAAAATTTTGTATGTAAGCGGAATGAACCCGAGGGCAAAGGACCGCCTTTTCGAAGACTAGGCCACGAGCTCATCTCTGCCGCTCATCCACTAGACCACGAGCTCATCTCTGCCGCTCATCCACTAGGCCACGAGCTCATCTCTGCCGCTCATCCACTAGACCACAAGCTCATCGCTGCCCGGCAGCGAGAAAAGTCTTATAAAGGAATCAGTTTTGAATCCCGATTTGTTTCCAGTCGATTCTGAACTTTGAACTGCGACAATTCCCTTGTGAGCCGATATTGATTTTTCTATACTTTAAAATTGTTAATCCAATTTGTCAAAGTAGTTTTAAGATATCATGGCCTTTTGATCCTGAGTCTCTTCGTTGTATCGACCGGGGTGACTGTTTGCCTCCGTTTCCTTTTCTTGTACTAACAACCACAAGTGCTCCCAAATCTCATCATCTTCCCCTTTTCCTTTCTTTCCATTCTTTTTCATCACAAACAAACAAATGTCTATCATCATTTTCTTTTGCTTTTCATCTTCTTCTTCCTCTTCTTCTTCTTCTCCTTCTTCTTCATCTTCTTCCTCTTCTTCCTCTTCCTTTTCTTCCTCTTCTTCTCCTTCTTCTTCCTCTTCTTCTTCTCTTTCTTTCTCTTCTTCTTCTTCGTCCTCCTCTTCTTCTTCTCTTTCTTTCTCTTCTTCTTCTTCTTCCTCCTCTTCTTCTTCTCTTTCTTTCTCTTCTTCTTCTTCTTCCTCCTCTTCTTCTTCTCTTGCCCAGTTGACCTGAAAGAAAACTATTTTTAACAATGTTCTTTTGAGAATAGGAATTGACAGTGACAGCCTAGTTAAGCCAAAAAGAAAACAGTGAATTTGCACTTCATTGGACAAGCTTTGATCAATCAAAGATTGTATAAGATTGCCCATAATATGTGAAAATCGGCTCAAAATTCGAAGACTAGATGACTTTTTTTAGAGATAAGACAGATGAATTATTTTTTAGAGAGTTTAAATTGAAACAGATTTTTTTAGCTGACTCTAGAGCCCATTGCGTGCCCGTTCCCGTCCCCGTTCCCGTCCCCGTTCCCGAGCCCGAACAACTAAGCAACAACCAATATTTCTTTTCATTTGCAATGATTTTATATCAAAAATCTCCATTTTTAGGCACCCACAAATCCTAAAATCTAAAAATAGATTAAGTTGAAAAGCTGTCAGATCACTTAAACTGTTATAATTTCATTTTTATAACATTTTTACACTTATACACCAATTTTTAGCTCAATCGGTCGGCTATAAGAAAAATTAAGGCCATTAGAAGCTTCGCAAAGAAACTTTTGGCACAAGAATGCTTTTGCCGATAAAGACTGGTGCTTAAAATGATGGCATTGAACTTTTCAGTGATTTTAATTAGTTATTCGTGCATTCGCTGAAGTTGTTTCCGTTCGCCTTCTTCCATTTCCCTTTCTTCCATTTCGCTTTCGCATTTGCGCGTGAGTGAGCATTGTAACGGTAATTTTGGCCCACCCTGTAATGTCTAAATGTCTAATGTCTAATGTCTAGAATATCTAATGTCTAGAATATCTAATGTCTAGAATATCTAATGTCTAAATGACTAATATCTAAATGTCTAAAATATTGTCTAGCTTTAAAAAATGATTTTTGATTAATAGAAATCCTTTATAAGCTAAAATTTCCCCTGTTCAAAGAAATGATAAACAGCTGTTTGAAAGAGAATGATGCGATCGTTGAGATCATTTCAAAATGCAGAGGGGAACGGCTCAAATAACCACCGCGAGGATCGACAAAAAAGACAAGCGACAAAAAGACAAGCGACAAAAAGACAAGCGAAAATGATCTGAAGATTTAAAAGTTGAAAATGAAAAGGTTACAAGAAAATAGAAGAAAATAGAAGAAAATAGAAGAAAATAGAATTATTGTCCAGAGTCAGTTTTGGTTTTTTTGACTGATCAATGGCTGAGTTTCGGCTTTTCGAATGAGCAGTCACACTTTGAAGCTTCAAGCTTTGAAGCTTCATAATTTCCTTTAGCAATAATATCCATCAGCTTTTCTATAGTTTAAAGTGTATTTTTTTTAAAGCTATAGAAAACAGCACAAGAACTCAAAAGGTTGAGCTTGATTTTTGCGACTTTCAAAGCTTATAGAACTTAAAGGAGGCATCCGAATTAAGAACAATTCGTCAATCGTCGAACAATCGTCAGCAACTACCGTAAATACTGTAATAGTACCCCACCCGCATAATGACGGTGCGGAGCGTTGCGTAGTCTAGCTTTGAACGAGTTTTTCTCGGCACTGGCTTATGCTACAATGCTCGCTTAGGTATCAAAAAATACCTGAAATTCAGACCGACTTGAAAAGCTGCATCCTTTAATACCTCATACATTATTGATAAGATAATTTAAGACAATTTACACAAATATCAGCCAATTTCAGCCAATCTAAACGAATTTAGACAAATTTAGACCAATTTAAGCCAATTTAAACCAATTTAAACCAATTTAAGCCAATTTAGAGCAATTTAAACCAATTTAAACCAATTTAAACCAATTTAAGCCAATTTAAGCCAATTTAAGCCAATTTAAACCAATTTAAGCCAATTTAGAGCAATTTAGAGCAATTTAGAGCAATTTAGAGCAATTTAAACCAATTTAAACCAATTTAAGCCAATTTAAGCCAATTTAAACCAATTTAAGCCAATTTAGAGCAATTTAGAGCAATTTAAACAAATTTAGACTAGTTCGCAAGAATTTAAGCCAATTTAAGCCAATTTAAGCGAGTTTAGACCAATTTAAACAAATTTAGACCAATTTAAACCAATTTAAATCAATTTAAACAAATTTAAACAAATTTAAACCAATTTAGACCAATTTAGACCAATTTAGACCAATTTAGACCAATTTAAAGCAATTGAAATTCATTTAAACAAATTTAGGCTAGTTTAAAAGAATTTAAGCCAATTTAAGCGAGTTTAAGCCAATTTAAAGCAATTTAAACAAATTTAAAGCAATTTAGACCAATTTAAGCCAATTTTAGTGAGAATCGGCCGCAATTTAGAACAATTTAAGCCAGTTTAAACAAATTTAAACCAATTTAGGCCAATTTAGGCCAATTTAGACCAATTTAAACAAATTTAGAGCAATTTTAACGAAAACCGGCCCTAATTCGGCCGCCTCCTTTAACCGAACTCTCGATCGCAGCTGTTTTCGATTAAAACACAAAAGAGACTTCAAAACAAAAGAACAAGATTTTTCTATTTTCCAAAATCGTTTTTATTGGAGTCAAATTTGAAAAGCCTCTATAGCCGATTAAATTGTTTTAAAAAATATTTTCAAATTTTAAAATAACCAATTCCTTTTCAGCTTCTTCAACTAACACACAGCTTTTTTTTTCCTCGCTTTCACAATGGTGAGTCAATTTCGTTTGAGAAATTTTAGCGAAACCAAAATCGTGATTGATTGATTGATTGATTGATTGATTGATTGATTTTTTTTTTGATTTAAAATCAATTCTAGATGCTTGGGCATTTCGAAACGAACGACACGTCGAAACGATTGCCGACAAATGGCCGATCTCAGGCCCCGCAAACAGCGAATCCACTATTCATCAATTTTGGTGAGTTTTCGAGAAATTTCAAGAAGAATTCGCTACTTTATGCGGCTACTTTATGCTAAATTTTTTTTTTCTCCGCCAAACTCACCATAACTTTCTTCTAAGTAGGCTAATCTTTATGTTTTTTTTTGTTATTTTGTAGAGCTCAACAATTGCAACAGAATGACACAAAAATGACAAAGATTGGCGCACTTACTAGGGAATTTTGTTAACTTATCGTGGCTTTTGACTCGGGAAATAGCCTATCTAAGTCTAGCTAAGGAAATAGCTTATCTAAGCCTATCTAAGCCTAGCTAAGCTTATCTAAGCTTATCTAAGCCTAGCTAAGCCTATCTAAGCTTATCTAAGCCTATCTAAGCTTATCTAAGCTTATCTAAGCCTATCTAAACCTATCTAAGCCTATCTAAGCCTATCTAAGCCTAGCTAAGCCTATCTAAGCCTATCTAACCTTATCTAAGCCTATCTAAGCCTATCTAAGCCTAGCTAAGCCTATCTAAGCCTATCTAAGCCTAGCTAAGCCTATCTAACCTTATCTAAGCCTATCTAAGCCTACCTAAGCTTATCTAAGCCTATCTAAGCAAACACCCTGATACAGTTTTTCACACTGATTCCGAATCTGCAATCAGTTTTTGTCAAACGCTTCTCTATCGCGAGATATTTGGCAGACAAGTTTTTGGGAGCTCTTTATGAGGGCTGTCTTTAGTCAACGGCCTCCGTGGTGTAGTGGTTAGTGCGCGCGTCTGCCGGGCGAATGCCCTTTTGGATCTCAAGGGTTCGAGGATTTCCCAAAAGTGTATTACATGAGAAGGACAGTGCTTCAGCTTTCATCGGTTTCATTAGTTCATTAAGTGTTTCTGTTCTCATCAACCTTTCTCTCCCCACATCGATAATCCCTCGCGCACACAGGTGGCCCGTGTAATCAGATACAGAACCACCGCCCACTTGATATCTGTCTTTCATTTTCTTTTCTTTAAGATGATCTTCTTCCTCTTCTTCCTCTTCTTCCTCTTCTTCCTCCTCTTCTTCTTCATCTTCTTCATCTTCTTCTTCTTCCTCTTCTTCTTCTTCTTCTTCTCCTTCTTCATCTTCTTCCTCTTCTTCTTCTCCTTCTTCATTTCTTCTCTTCTCTCTCTTTCTCGTGATCATCAAAGTCTTGCGTCTTGCGGTGGGCGAAGAAAGACTTTTCATTCGACTCCGATCCATCAACCCTCGACGATTTTTTCGATTTTTACAACAAGATCAATTTATCTTAACTTATTTTCATTTATCTATCTACAGTACGACTGATTTGAGTGTTTAATCGATCGAATTATTCGAAAATATTGTTTTTCAAGAATTTCTACGACTTTGAAACAACTATTGTTTGTTTTTGAACGACTACAGTAACCCTAGGATTACTGTAGCTGAAAAGTGAACGACTACAGTCATCCGAAAGTACTGTATCCAGAAAGTACTGTATCCAGAAAGCGACTACAGTCATCCGAAAGTACTGTAGCTGAGTGGCCGATCCCCTGCAGCTAAAGAACGACTTTGTGAACGACTACAGTAACCCCAGGACTACTGTAGCTTTGATCGATCGACAAGAAAGCAATCCCTTTCGATATTCCCCGTGTGCTGTGTGATCGATCGATCGATTGACAAAACTAAAAATGGACCGTATCAGTCGTCACAGCTGGCTCGGCTCCATCACGCCCGACTCCGACAACGATGATTTGCCGAATTTTGGTGGAGATTTTAGCAAAATTGTACAATTCTAATTGGAAAATTGGTCCTAACTTTCTAATTGGAAATCCAGCGCTCTTCAAATTAGCTTTAGCAATCTACTTTCGCAAATTTAAACAGCCAAATCGTCAACCAGGCAATTCAAACAGTCAAACAGTGAAAACAGTCAATTGATTACAGCTCAAAAACCGAAATTATAGACTAGCCAGTATTAGACTACTATTTGTTTTTTAAAACTGATAAAAAACAATGAGTTAAGCAGCAGATTAGCATTGAATTCAATACTGGCTCAATACTGACTCTGAAATGATTTTAATGAACTTGAATGAGCTTCTTGAATGAGGCTGAACTTCTTGAATGAGGCTGAACTTCTTGAATGAGGCTGAGCTTCTTGAATGAAGCTGAGCTTCTTGAATGAGGCTGAACTTCAATGAATTCAAGCTCAGCTAACAAATACTATTTTTGTGTTTTGGTGCTTAAAAATCAAATCAAATAATTCTAGTGGAAAACAAAGCTGAGCAAGATTTAAAAGTAAATTCTCTGAGCCAAGCCAGACAAAGCTAAATCAAAAGCCTCTGCTTAAGAAGTCTCTGCACCCACCAGAACAATTGTTCCAATCTAGGCCAGATCCGAATTGTTCCAATCTAGGCCAGAACAGAATTGTTTCAATCTAGTCCAGACCAGAATTGTTCCAATCTAGGTCAGACCAGAATTGTTCCAATCTAGGCCAGAACAGAGTTGTTCCAATCCAAATTGAATCTAGCTCTGGTCCTGCCACACCTGGCCCAAATTACAGGCTTTGGACAAACACTAGAAAAGACAAACACTAGAAATTTGGAAACCACACCTGTAAAGAAAAATTCTTGGCAGGACCAGAGCCAGATTCATGTCTGGTCTGGTATTCTTCACTCAAGACACATTATTTCTTGTTTCGAGAGATCTGATCTCACTTTAAATTGAACGAGAACTAAGACACTTTATTCAATAGCCGACTGTTAATAAATTTGTGTCAATTTGGGCTCTCACTTGAGCAATTTTCACATAAAATCGACAATTGAATTAAAAGCGATAATAAAAAAAGAAAAAATTTCATCCTAATTAGGCCAAAACTTTCAGACGATGAAAGGAAAACAGAAAAAATCAAAGATAACGAAACCAAATGAACAACAGTTGCCTTATATAGGCTTTAACCGAAGATACTCAGCTAACAAGCTCTCACTTGGTTCCTAATCTCTAGATTTGGTTCCTAATCTCTAGATTTGGTTCCTAATCTCTAGATTTGGTTCCTGATCCCTAGATTTGGTTCCTGATCTCTAGATTTGGTTCCTAATCTCTAGATTTGGTTCCTAATCTCTAGATTTGGTTCCTGATCCCTAGATTTGGTTCCTAATCTCTAGATTTGGTTCCTGATCTCTAGATTTGGTTCCTTATCTCTCTAAATTTGGTTCCTAATCTCTAGATTTGGTTCTCTAGAAAATAGAAAAAAGTCAAAAGAAACAAATGACACAGCAGTTGTAGAGGCAGATTATATAGGCATTCACAAGTCATCCATCTAAAGATATTCAGCTAACAAACTGCAAAACAATAAATGATTTGGGTCGGTAGAATGAAGGCGGATTTCCGCAATACTTTTCCAATTTTTAAGCTGTTAGGTAACTTTTTATTGGCTATTCGCCACAAAACCTTTACAATACTATTCTAAATAAAACCTTTTCAATACTATTTTAGACCAAATCGTCCAGCTAATGGAGGTGGTGAATTCGATGGTGAAAGGCGGACAGTTCACTCCGCAACTTGCGAATGCCATCTTCGCTCTCTGCCAACAACTCAAACAACATGGCCCAACACTTGAACAAACTCATAAATGTGGGTTTCTCAAAAAAAGCTAGTGTTAGATTGAAACTTTCAGCCGATTTAAACAAGGCGTTCGTTTCGCTGCGCCAAGCGTGTTGCCGTGATCATGGCCAACTCGGGACACCGTGTCGTCTCAAAGTTAGTTTAAAACTCGACTTTGATCTTTGAATCTTTGAAATAGATATGGTAGAGTAAAGTAGAGTAAAATTCCGTCTCAGACCATATGAAGGGCGTTTGATTGTGTTCGAGAGTACAATTCCGTTCCGAACCTAATTCCAGCTCCATTTTGAAGGGCGTTTGATTGTTCGAGAGTAAAAATCGGGAGAAGCACTCCAGTTATCCATGTCTCTTGACAAATTTCTTGATTTCTCCTCGGCTAGAACCGGTTTTAAAACTCCGGCTTCTACAATCTGAAGGGCATTTGATTGTCGTCGAGAGTACAATTCCGTTCCGAACCTAATTCCAGCTCCATTTTGAAAGGCATTTGATTGTCTTAGAGTATAATTCCGTTCCGAACCTAATTCCAGCTCGATTTTATCAACTGATTGTTCTCGAATTTTGTCTACAAGCCGTTTATTTGTAGGCAAGCTTTCAGGCAAGCTTTCAGGCAAGCTTTCAGGCAAGCTTTCAGGCAAGCTTAAAAACGAGTTGGATGGTTTGAGACAGTTTGCTCAGTCTACAAATCTATGAATAATTGCTTAATTGCTCTAAAAAAAACGGTATTTGTTTATCCTTTTCCTGTAAAAAATAGCATTAAAAATGCAAACAAAATATTTTTACTCATTTTCATACTTTCATTGTTCCCCAAAAATCAAATGCTAAGAAGATTTGGGATGTAAAATTTTCATTGTTTCAATTTGCGGGGAAAAGCTAAACACATCTCCAATGCCTCATCCGAACTTCGAAATCTTTAGATTATGGAACTCGTCGAGTTGCGCGCGATGCACTGGCGCAGCAACCTCGCCCATTCACAGTACTACGTGAATCGCCCGGAGCAGCGTGGGTGTTTAATATGTTCAATATAGGGTGTTCAATAGGGTGATCAATAGGCTGTTCAATAGGGTGTTCAATAGGCTGTTCAATATAGGCTGTTCAATATAGGCTGTTCAATATAGGCTGCTCAATATAGGCTGTTCAATATAGGCTGTTCAATAGGCTGTTCAATATAGGCTGTTCAATATAGGCTGTTCAATATAGGCTGTTCAATATAGGCTGTTCAATAGGCTGTTCAATATAGGCTGTTCAATATAGGGTGTTCAATATAGGGTGTTCAATGTTTGTGTGGATCAGTAGATTACTAGATTTAGAGCTCATTTTGTACAAGTTTAATGCTAAAAAGGAAACAAATTTATCAATACGTTAACAACTTTAAAGAATACACCGGGAACAGCCGGATGTGGTTTATTTAAGATGCACATCAATCACAATACAACAACACACACAATACTAGGCTAAATCTTGACTTAATCCACGACATGACAGACGGCTTCTTAACCCTAAGGTAGATTACTAGCTTTAGAGCTCATTTTGTACAAATTTAATGCTAAAAAGGAAATGTCTCTCAGATTCAAAAACTGTTAAATAATGAAGATTTTCTCATTGTTAAACAAGAAAGAATGGAATTTGATTCCTTTTAGTGAAATTTAGTGATCAGATTCCAATGAATCGGTTTTTCACATAAGAAATTGAGTAAACTGTAAAAATAATCTCAAAACTCGAGTTGATTCTAACTCCTATGCAGTGCTTTCTTCACGATTTTTTTTTCCTAAACCAATTTTGAGAGCGCTAAACGATTTGCGAGCTTAAAAGTTCCCAGAAATATTGAATACTCTGTAAATGACAAGATGAAAACTTTACAATTCAGAACAACTAAGCAGAACAACTAAACAGAACAACTAAACAATTCAGATGATTCTCTTGGCGCTTCATCTCCTTTATCAATGGGTTTCCACACTCCGTCAATGGCTCCAACCACTTTCTCCCCGTCACTTTTTCTCCCTGACATGAGCACTCAAACAACCCAAGCCACTCATCAAACTAGCCCATATTTTCTCATCCCGGCTGCAGGTAGGATACTGTATTCCTCAGGTACTTTAAAAATGAATTTGAAAATCTTTTTGACAATATCGAGATATAACAGATTGAGTTTAATTTAATGAATTTAATGAAAATTTAATTTATCAAAATTTAATGAAATATTTTCTCTAATAGTAGTGCACCTAGAGCTAATATTATTCTTATCTTTTTAGATTATTGTAAAGAAGACATTAAGCTCTATCTTTTCGTATATTAAACATAAAAATATCTCAAAATTGCGCTGAGAACGAGGCGTCTAAAGTTGACCCTCGTCCTCGACCCCTCGACCAACTTCAGACTCCTCGTTTGCTCGAAATTCCTCGAAATCTCGAGAATCGCTTATCAGAACCTATCGATGTGGGGTCGGAAAATGTAGCTGACGATGAGATCTTGACGATGATTGAAGTGTTGAGCCTCTGGGAAAACTTTGGAAGCCGTAAATAGTCATCAACTCGGCTCGCTTGGGTGCACTACTATTAGAGAGGATGCAATATTCAGCTTTGTGCGCACTTCCAAGGGTTTTCGGTTATGGAGAATCTGCCTTTTGAGTCTATTTTTAAAAAAGGGCGGGGCTTAAGTACTAAATTCTTAGCTTAGCTAACGTTAAGAACTCGATCAATCAACAAAACTTGGGTTTTGTTTAATCAAAACGCAACTTTCGGTTCATTGCATCAAATTGACTGCTTTCCCTAATTCCCGCTTCACTTAAATTGCTCGAAATCTCGAGAGCCGCTTATCAGAACCTATCGATGTGGGGTCGGAAAATGTAGCTGACGATGAGATCTAGTGGGGGATTAGAGTGCTGAGCTTCTGGGAAAACTTTGGAAGCCGTAACTAGTCATCAACTCGGCTCGCTTGGGTGCACTACTGCACTACGCGGTGCACTACTGCACTACGCGGTGCACTACTGCACTACGCGGTGCACTACTGCACTACGCGGTGCACTTAGAGGAAATACGGTAACTGAAATGTCTTAAGATTTAACAACTCTTTGATCATTTTAGGCTTAAGTTATTAGAAGAAATAGCAAACAAGAATTACACATTTAATTTCGAGTATCTAGAAAAATAGAAACAATAACAATAGAAACAACAACAATAAAAACAACAACAATGTTTCTAGAATAAGGATTACAAATTTAATTTCAAAATTTCTAGTCCCAGGTGGCTTTATGAATCCTCTCCTACCTGGTCTTCTTCAACAACCACTCTTCGCATCAGCTCTTGCGCAAAATCAGGCTGCTGCAGCTGAGGTTCTCCTCAGAAATAAACAAATCAAAAAGGTAAGAACATTTTTGATTCTAGCAAACTAAGAGAAAGCCGGCCGGCTGGTCAAATCCAGAAATGAAAAATGATGATTTTCTGGAAATTTCTGATGAATCAGAGTTTTGAGAAGAAGCCAGTTTCCCTAATAGCTGTAAATATCGATTTTATAGAATTCTGATTGTATTAGCAAGCTGGTTATTTTATTTTTCAGCCAACTATCGCTAAACCGATGCAACTTCGGCACGAGATGGTTATTCGGAATGCTGATTCGGGGAAAATCATGGGTGTCAAGGTTAGATTTGAATTCAGTTTTTAGATACTAATTTTATACTTTACAGTATCCAGTACTTGTTATCTTACAGTGTACAGTACTTGTTATCTTACAGTGTACAGTACTTGTTATCTTACAGTGTACAGTACTTGTTATCTTACAGTATACAGTACTTGTTATCTTACAGTATACAGTACTTGTTATCTTACAGTATACAGTACTTGTTATCTTACAGTATACAGTACTTGTTATCTTACAGTGTACAGTACTTGATATCTTACAGTGTGCAGTACTTGATATCTTACAGTGTACAGTACTTGATATCTTACAGTGTGCAGTACTTGTTATCTTACAGTAGTACAGTACTTGTTATCTTACAGTGTACAGTACTTGTTATCTTACAGTATACAGTACTTGATATCTTACAGTATACAGTACTTGATATCTTACAGTATCCAGTACTTGTTATCTTACAGTATCCGTTTTCTTATCCATCTAAAACTTTAGGGTCGTCGCGTAGCGCTTGTCGAGCAAATCACCAACACTGTCATCTCATTTCAAAAGGTTTGCTGATGTTCATATTTGAAAGAAAATAGTTTTATAGTGATTTAACTATTTTATAGTGATTTAATCATGATTCATTAAAGAATCGAAAGTCTAGGTTGATCCAAAAGCAAAAGAACGAACCCTGACAATCACCGCGTCTACCACCGAAGCGATCGAACATGCTAAACAACTCGTTGAGGAGACGATTCGACGAAATACTAGCCCTGTTCGGGTTCGTTTTTGCTTAAATCATACTTTATGCTTGAAAACTGTAAACCCAGCCTTTCTGGAGCACTTAATTTTTTCATTTTTCCCCACAACAATTTGATGTCAAATCGTCTAAGTCCACTCTCAAACAAACACTCAGATCTCGACACCAGTACGTTTCTTTCTGCCCGTTTTTATATCAAATTAAAGTAGAGAGAATGCGTAATTTTTTAAGATATAAAACAGCCTTTTAGCATTAACCTGTGATCAGAAAAAATGATTGAAAAATCATGAAAAAATCGGCTTTTTTTTGCCATTTTTCAATCATTTTTTTCTAAGCGCCGGTTAAAGCTAAATATATGTTTTATATCTCAAAAGATCACCCATTTTCTCTGCTTTAATTTGATATAAAAACGTGCAGAAACAAACGTCTGAAAGAAACGGTAATCACGATTGTCCTAGATGCTAAATTTCTCCAGCGAAATTTCTCCTTTCCTACATTTTTGCTGCCAAGCGATTCTAAAAAAACTGATTATTTCTCATCAAATAACTCTCAAATGTACGAAAACAAGCAAATAAATAGGAAAATATAAGAAAATCTTTTCATTTTAATCTTTGTTTGCCTTTGTTTGCCTTTGTTTGCCTTCTAATTGAGCGATTTGAACTCGATAGCGATGCGAATGTGAATGTGAATGTCGAATAGTTGCTTAGCCAAGTCGAGTGACTTCTTCAACTCGAGCAGTAACTAAAAAAAGAATTATAATAATCCTTTTATCTCCAACTTTTCTTATTTCAAAAGAAAACAATCATTAAATCACAGTTTATCATTCACATTTTATCGTAAATACATAGATCTGATCGTAAATAGAACTGAGCGTTTGTTTGAGTGAAAACAGAAGCTCCTATCGAGCTACGCGAAGCTCCTATCGAGCTCCTATCGAGCTCCTATCGAGCTTTTTAAAATAAACGCTTCAGCCCGAAGCAGCCGCTTTACTTGGAATGGGCATTGGTCACTCAATGTCTACCGATTCTCCATCAATGGGCGATGATGAATCATCCGGTGATGAAGATGATAGAGAACCGCAAAGAGGACAAGATATATCAATTGAAACCACACAGGATGGAGTGCTCAAGTTGTGTTGCTCGGATCCTCATGTGTTACAAGTAAGGGAAAAGTATTACATTCTAAAGTGTGACTTAGGGAAAAACTATCAGTTCACTAGTGAAAAGCTGAAAAAATACCAGAACATTGTTTTTGTTTATGACTCATTTGACTCATATGACTTCACTAAATTAGGCCCAGACCAGCACTTTGTCTGGAGTTAGCTTCTCCCCGGTTCAAGTACTTTTGAGGACAAGATCAGAGTCATTCGAGGTCAGCTTAGAGCTACAGCTTACAGCTTAGAGCTACAGCTTACAGCTTAGAACAAATCTAGATACCTATAAGTCTGGTTACCTATAGCGATTGCCTAAAAGATTAGAAATAGACCTAAAAGATTAGAACTAGACCTAAAAAGTTAGAATCTAGAAGCTAAATCTATTAGATACCTAGATACCTGGCTTCTGACCCTCGTTTTAAAAACATAAACAATTTTCAGGCCGCTCAAGAAGCACTCAGCGAATATCTCCGCATGCGCACTAGATCCTCGGCTGAAGAAAGGTTTCCTTGTTGAGTTGATCGATCCAGAAAGTCAAGTTAAATTTCAGAGAGAAGAAAAAAGAGCGTCGCAAATCGATGCCATTGCAAACGGCGGTGAAAGAGGAAAAAGTGGAGACAACGGAGAGAAGACCGGGACTTGAAAGGGCGAGGAGTTTGGGTGGAAGTACGCCAAATCTACAAGAACAAGCGAATAAAGGTTAGATAGATATGAAATAAATATGAAATAGATATGAAACAGATATCAACACAATACGATAACTTCTAAGCTTAAGCATTTAATGAAATCGCCTCTTAATAAGCCCTGTAAGTCGACTATAACTTGAAAACCGCATCCAACTAAAGTAGTTTGGATTCTTTCTTCGGTGATTTAGAGCTGCTATTTGTATTTGTTACGTTCGATCTAGAAATCTGTTCGATCTAGAGTGAAATGAGATCAAAAGTCCGATCTAGAATCAAGCCGATCACTCTAAGTCTGGGTCGGACGTTTGATTTAGATTGATCGGCTTGATTCTAGATCGGACATTTGATCTAACTTCAAGCGCACAAAGGTTTAAAATAGATATGTGACGTCCGATCTAGAAATCCGTTTGATCTAGAGTAAAGTGTGATCAAAAGATTCACTCCGATCTGATTCTAGATCGAACGGATTTCTAGATCAACTTTGACACAACTTTTCTCTATGTTTTTACACATGAATATAAAAAATAAATTGTAGTTTTCTATAACCAAATTTCATGAAGATTCTATTAAAATTAACCATAAGTTGATTCAGCTTCTATACCTCGAGTTATAGACCATCTAAGTTGAGTAACTTTTCCAGGTAGCTAGTTCAACTTTGACACAACTTTTCTCTATGTTCTTACACATGAGTATACAAAATAAATTGTACTTTTTTATAACCAAATTTAATGAGGATCATTTTAAACCCAACCTCAAGTTGATCTGATTACTGGAAGTCGAGTTATAGAGTAAAATAGAAAAGTTCCCAAACACCGAGACTCGTAGCGGAATTTGGAAGTGCCACTTTGACACAAATTTTCTCTGTTTTTATCAATAAGTATACAAAACAAATTCCATGTTTCTTTAGTCAAATTTAATGAAGCTTCTAATAAAACCAACCATAAGTTGATTCAATTTCTATGCCTCGAATTATAGACCGTCAAAGTTGATTGACTTCTGCAGGCGAGTCAGTCAACCTTGACACAAGACTTACAGGGCTTATTAAAAGGCCATCTCATTAAATGCTTGAGCTTAGAAGTTATCATATTGTGTTGAACATATCTATTCCAGCAGCTATGGCTAGCCGAATGAGAGCTCCGTTTGGGCCATGTTACGGTCGAGAAGCATTGCTTGCTCAACAAAATCCCGGAGAAAACGACGAGATCATCAACCAAGTGATCAATCAGGTGAGAGAAAAATTGATTTCTATTCTGCTATTTACTTTTCGTGAATTATGGATAGGGTTTTAATAAGGGAAAGGCACCGCTCTGGCTCAAGTCAAGCTGGCTGGCTCAAGTCAAGCTGGCTGGCTCAAGTCAAGCTGGCTGGCTCAAGTCAAGCTGGCTGGCTCAAGTCAAGCTGGCTGGCTCAAGTCAAGCTGGCTGGCTCAAGTCAAGCTGGCTGGCTCAAGTCAAGCTGGCTGGCTCAAGTCAAGCTGGCTGGCTCAAGTCAAGCTGGCTGGCTCAAGTCAAGCTGGCTGGCTCAAGTCAAGCTGGCTGGCTCAAGTCAAGCTGGCTGGCTCAAGTCAAGCTGGCTGGCTCAAGTCAAGCTGGCTGGCTCAAGTCAAGCTGGCTGGCTCAAGTCAAGCTGGCTGGCTCAAGTCAAGCTGGCTGGCTCAAGTCAAGCTGGCTGGCTCAAGTCAAGCTGGCTAGCTCAAGTCAAGCTGGCTGGCTCCAAGCCCATCTTATAGAGTTGACCATCGGGATCTCGAATCTGTTTTTACTTTTTGCAGAACGCGAAATCTTTGGCATATAAGTTCACCGTGAATTTCGAGATTCTTATGATGCACACAACTCCATTGACAACTGCCTTCGTGGTCTAGTGGATAGTCTGCTAGTCTACCAAGCCTATCACATTCTTTGCTCCCCAAGTTCGAGTCCCACTGTCGCCAAACGGTTTAGAACTGTTTCTTTACATATTTGCATTGAATTATTGTCTCTAGTTTTATACACAGCTTTCTGTACTTACAGAAAGTCTGTACTTACAGAAAGCTTTGTACTTACAGAAAGCTCTGTACTTACAGAAAGCTTTGTACTTACAGAAAGCTCTGTACTTACAGAAAGCTCTGTACTTACAGAAAGCTCTGTACTTACAGAAAGCTCTGTACTTACAGAAAGCTTTGTACTTACAGAAAGCTCTGTACTTACAGAAAGCTCTGTACTTACAGAAAGCTTTGTACTTACAGAAAGCTGTGTAACGCACAGAAAGCTCTGATCCTTTGAGTGATTCTTTCTGATCCTTTGAAATCAAAAATTAAACAGTTACAAGAAGTAGCAAGTCGATTTTGGATCTTAAATTTCTTAAAAAAGCTTTTCAGGTGTCCCAAATCGCTCCCGAAATCCTCCGCGACTCGGTGCAGAATTGATCCCATCTAAATCACCAAAAACAACATTCAAATTGCCATTTTCCCATCAGCTGGACCCATTTTTCTATGTTGTGTCTAATTTTGAGCTCATTTTCTTCTCAATTTTCTTTTCAATTTCCTTTTAATTCTTTCTTTTTACGTTTAGCAATCTGGTGAAACAATCAGGGTCCACGCAAAAAGCAATTCCAGTTGATCTTTTATTTAAAAAACCCTAAAAAAACTATAAAATATTGTGCAATTCTTAGATATTTTTTACAGAATAAATGTTAAAAATTACAAAAAATTCTTCTCAATTTTATAGTTTATCATTTCTTTTTTTCAAAAAAAAGATAAACAAAGCCGGTTTTTTGCGAGAAAAAGAATCGAAATCGAGAAATTCACAAAATTTTCACTTTCACTTTCCATTGATAGCAAAATGAAAGCGAATTTCATAATTCTCATTCTTGTCAATCTTTTCAATGTCTACACTTCGGTACTCCATTGCCCGCTGGGCTTGTCGACTGATGGAGAAACGCCGATGAACACCGTGGACACGTGTGCATGTTGTTATAAAGAGGCGTGAGTTGGGATTGATTTATTTGATTGAAACTTAAACCCAATAAACGATTTGATACTTTATCGCTTATCTTGCGATTCGTCGACCTTGAAAACCCTTGGGTACAAATTCACAGCTGAATATCTTCTTTTTGTGCAATTTACAAAGCAAAAGAAGAAACCGTGTGTAAATGACTGAGCGATCTTTTTGTGGTCGCGTAATCGCTCTTCATCTGGCACATCCTCCCGATAGATAGGTGTTCTCTTTACTCAAATTTAATGTAGATTCTAATAAAAGTAACCCTGAGTTGATTGAACTTTTACATCTTGACTTAGGGATCATTTAAGTGGATCGACCCTTTTATTAGGTTGATGGATAAGTCTTTTTGTTCCTTTTCGTCTGCCGTTTCAAGCCAACAAATGCACCAATTAAACCAATTAACGGTTGATTTCATTAGAAAAAGCAATTATTTTTCTGCAAAATAACATTAAAACGGGTTTAAAAATATTTAATGCCTGGATTTTCTTGAGAGTATGAAGTCGGGTAGTCAAAAAGGGCTAACTCGATGATGCGGTTTAGATACCTTAGCTAAAGAAAACCTATATTCGTGTCAATAGATAAAAGATAGAGAAAAAAAACGTTTGATATTTCGCCAAAATTTCAGAGAAATTCATTCAGCCAATTTTTCCGTAGAGTTTTTTATAGATTTTTACGAAAAAGGCGTTTTTCACTCTCGAATTTGCTTGAAAGTCAACCGAAATTCATTTAAAAAGATGCAAATTGAACAAAAAAAACACTTTTTTTGATAGAGCAAACTATAGATTAATTGGTGAATTTGTTACTTTTTAACAGAAGTACGAAAAAAACGAAAACACTTATGCATCAACCTAATAGATAGATAGACCAACAAAAAAAAATTTCCATTTTATTTGCGCAACTCGTCATAACTATTCTTCTAAGTAGGCCAATCTTTATGGTTTTGTTGTCATTTTGTAGATCTCAATAAGTGCAACAAAATGACAACAAAATCATAAAGATTGACCGACTTAGAAAAAAGTTATGGCGAGTTGCGCAAATGACCCAGTTGCGGAAAAAAAAATTGCGGAAACTAGCCTACTAGCCTACCCCAAATTTCAGCGTACAAATGACCTCTTCGGTGAGCGTTGAGCACGTGTGGCTGACTGGTTAAGTGTCTTTTATCTTAATCGGAAGGTCGAGGGTTCGAACCCCACATGCGACATGGTCACCCCCTTCGGATTTCCTTTCCCTTCGGGTTGAGAGGTTTTCTGGAGGGCAGTCTGGTGGTTGTGGCCCCAGTTCTTTAAAGTGACAAGCCACTCCTTCATCGTCATCTTCCCTTCACCACCAAAAAAAGCTATTTAGTTCCCCATTGAGCTTAGGGTTAGGGAGCCGTCTGTCATGACGTGGGTTAAGTTAAGATATAGCCTAGTATTGTGTGTGTCGTTGTATTGTGATTGATATATTTCGTGTATGCGATAAATTCACCACTGGTAGCCCCAGTCGGTATTTTTTTAATTTTTTTAAAAAACTAGCCTACTAGCCTACCCCAAATTTCAGCGTACAAATGACCTCTTCGGTGAGCGTTCTCTACAATTGTCTTCAGGAAAAAGACTGTGATTCAATTCTAAAAAAACGGGAAAACACGGTATGATTTTATTGTTTTTATGCTCAAAATTTGTAAAACACACTCTTTCTGGTGCACTCTTTATGTTCGCCGTGAAAAAATACAAACTCTGAGTGCGCCAGAAAGGTGCGTTTACAATTGCGAGCTCAAAATACATGAGAGTACCTTCTCTATTAGAGTATTTTCTCTAATAGTAGTGCACCCAGAGCTGCCTAAATTCCTCGAAATCTCGAGAACCGCTTATCAGAACCTATCGATGTGGGGTCGGAAATGGTAGCTGACGATGAGATCTTGACGATGATTTGAGTGTTGAGCTTCTGGGAAGACTTAGAGGCTGTAAAATAGGCATCAACTCGGCTCGCTTGGGTGCACTACTATTAGAGAAAATACGGTACTTTGTATTGTGTGTACTTTGTGCTCAAAAAACGTAAACACATCCTTTCTGATAAGCTTTTCTAGGTTTGCTCAAAGAAGACGAAGAAATTCGAGGTTTTTGGCAAAGAAATCACCCGAGACACCGAGGAATGTTATAGTAAAAATGAGAAATTTCACTGAATTTTTGAATTTGATTCAATTTTGATGATTGAATTCAATAAACACTACATTCAAATACAATTTGCATTTGATTTATCGATTTAGTTTATCGATTTCTCAAAAAATTCCACGCATTAACAAGAAAAAACGGGTTTGAAAAGGAAAAAAACGAGCTGAACCTCGAATTTTAGCCATTTTCTTCTTAATTCTTCTCTATTTTATCTTAATTTTTCGCATTTTTCGATTAATAGACTTTTACCTAATGTATTTTGTGCTTAAAAATGTAAAAGTATCCTTTTTAGTGCACTTTTTCTCCAGCAACAATTTATTGGGTTGGGGAGAATGAGTCGGCGCCGAAAATCAAAAAAATGTCTAAAACTTCTATTCGACTTCGTGAAATAATATGCGTTTGATATGAGTAGAATGGTTAACTAATTCTCTACAAAATCACATTTAAAAGAAAATTCAAACAGCGCCTCCGCTCAAGAAAATGTCAACTTTCCACAAAAACTACAAACTGTGATCTAGAAAAAACCGTTCAGCGTTCACCCCACTAGCGTGACCCTAGAAAGAAATCGCTTAAAATCTATAGATAAAATTCTTAAAAGCTTATTCTGATAAAGGGTTTTTCCTACCGTATACGTGCGAATCGGTCGATCAAATCCAACTCTACAAACATTAATCGTTTGATCGGTGGAACAAGAGGCAAAAGTGTCGTCGGAGATCCAATCAACGTCGAGAGTTGACGCGGAATGGAATTGAAATTGTTGCTTGTTTTGACCTGAAATCAATTTTATTTTGATTATATCGAATTCCCTTGCTTTTTATTGGATCCCAAACAATTGTTGATTTGTCAACACCGGCTGAAAGAACAAGGTCACCAGAGGGATTCCATCGCAACGCAAAGATCGGTCCTTTATGAGCACCCAGAGTTGAATGGAGTGGTCCTAAAATGGGAATATTGGGTTGGGGACTATGACTCGGCGCCGAAAATCAAAAAAATGTCTAAAACTTCTATTCGACTTCGTGAAATAATATGCGTTTGATATGAGTAGAATGGTTAACTAATTCTCTACAAAATCACATTTAAAAGAAAATTCAAACAGCGCCTCCGCTCAAGAAAAAGCCATTTTTTCACAAAAACTACAAACTGTGATCTAGAAAAAACCATTGGTGGGATCTTCCTGCAAATTTGGCAACTTAATTAATTGAATGTGCTCTATCTTTTTTATATAAACACCAAAGAAGGTTTATGTGAAAGAAACTGTTCAAATGATGAGTCGGACTCTTTGCCATTTTAACCAGCTGCGTTTGGAAGTTCATAAACTCCACGAAAGAAAAGCTTTGTGGAATCTCTCAAAAGTGATTTTGTAGAGAAATAGTGGATCCTTTTGATCAAACCAAATGTATGTTTAAAGAAGGCTTTATGTGTGCAAAAAGTCCCTTTAAAGTTCGGCGCCGACTCATTCTCCTCAACCCAATAGTTTTGTGAGAAAAATGACGGAAAATGATGAAAATGACATTTTATTTTAATTGTTTTAACTATTTTAATTATTTTAACTAGTTTAACAACAACTATTTTAACTATTAAGATCGAATTCTTTCATGAAATCAAATAATAAATCGAATTTGATGCTTTGCCTTGTGAGCATGGCACTTATGTCTGTTTTAACTGTAGTCAAACTATGCTTTTCTCTTTCCATTGACGAGCTTGTCATCAAAGTTAGTTCTTTTGGATGCTAACGATTATGTTAATCTTTAATAATCGATTAACATAATCGTTAAAGTAAACATTTTTATGAAAAGTCGTTTAAAATGAATTAAAATGAACAAAAGCAATTCATTTGCAGAAGAGGAATCGAAAACGCAGAAGAAAAAGGTAGTCAGCGGAGTTGAACTAGCAAGGGTGAGTGTTTTTTCTAATAATGAGCTTTTCATTTCACTCCTTTGAGCGGAAGATCGATATTTTGAGTACTGTACTTGTTTAGAATACTTAAAAACTGTACTGTACTTGTACTTGTCTGTCCTGTACTTGTCTGTACTGTACTGTACTGTACTTGTACTTGTCTGTACTGTACTGTACTTGTAGTGCACTGTACTGTACTGCATTTACGGTACTGTGCTTGTACTTGTACTGTACTGTACTGTACTGTGCTTGTACTTATCTGTACTGTACTGTACTGTGCTTGTACTTATCTGTACTGTACTGTACTGTGCTTGTACTGTACTTGTAGTGAACTGTACTGTACTGCATTTACGGTACTGTGCTTGTACTTGTGCTGTACTGTACTGTACTGTGCTTGTACTTATCTGTACTGTACTGTACTGTGCTTGTACTTGACTGTACTGTACCGTACTTATACTGTACTGTACTTGTAGTGCACTGTACTGTACTGCATTTACGGTACTGTACTCTACTTGTCTGTACTGTACTGTATTTATGGTACTGTACTTGTGAAAAACCTACTGTTAAAGTGAAATCTACTGTACTTAGGTACTGTAATAAGGCTAAGAGAAACTTGTAAATCAATCTTTTTTGATACTCTATGCTCAATAGACCTTTAAAATGCAAATTTAATTCTTTATGTAAAGTAGAAACGTATTTGGTTCCCCCGAAATTCGCGTAAGAGTCCGATTAAGATTAAACTTTTCACTTGAAAGCCTTCAAATTCATTTAAAGCAAGCTCAAGTTTCAATCAATTAGTTGAATCTTTTAACTAGTAATCTTTGTTTCACAACAAAACAAATTTACAAATTTACAGACAAGTACAAGTACAGTACAGTAGAGTACAGACAAGTACAAGCACAGTACAGTACAATAAAGACAAGTAGAGTACAGTACAGTAGAGTACAGACAAGTACAAGCACAGTACAGTACAATAAAGACAAGTAGAGTACAGTACAGTAGAGTACAGACAAGTACAAGCACAGTACAGTACAATAAAGACAAGTAGAGTACAGTACAGTAGAGTACAGACAAGTACAAGCACAGTACAGTACAATAAAGACAAGTAGAGTACAGTACAGTAGAGTACAGACAAGTACAAGCACAGTACAGTACAATAAAGACAAGTAGAGTACAGTACAGTAGAGTACAGACAAGTACAAGCACAGTACAGTACAATAAAGACAAGTAGAGTACAGTACAGTAGAGTACAGACAAGTACAAGCACAGTACAGTACAATAAAGACAAGTAGAGTACAGTACAGTAGAGTACAGACAAGTACAAGCACAGTACAGTACAATAAAGACAAGTAGAGTACAGTACCGTAAATGCAGTACAGTACAGTTTTACAAAAAACAAATTTACAAAGAATTTCATTCAAAAAATACGCGAAATCTTTCCGAAATCTTCCCGTTTTCTTCTCGTTTTCTTCTCGTTTTCTTCCCATTTTCTTCCCATTTTTCTCGTCAATTCTCCTCCAACTTTCCCTCCTTTTTTTCTCTTTTTCTCTCATTTTTCCCGCCAATTTTCCCCGCCTTCTTTTTGAATTTTCCCTCTCTTTCCATTACGCTACGAATTTTGTGTTCTCTTCTAAGACAAAAAAATCGATAACTTTATGATTTCACAATGTTTTTTGTTTCGAAAATGTAGATTTTTGAAATTAAAAGTGCATAAATACTAGCGTTTTATATGCTTTTATATGCTTTTTTTTTGATCTTTACAATCTTAGCTTTGATTTGTTAGCTTTGATTTGGTAGCTTTGCTTTGTTAGCTTTGATTTGCTGGCTTTGCTTTGCTGACTTTGATTTGCTGGCTTTGCTTTGCTAGCTTTGATTTGCTGGCTTTGCTTTGCTAGCTTTGATTTGCTAGCTTTGCTTTGCGGCTTTGCTTTGCTGGCTTTGCTTTGGTAGCTTTGATTTGCTGGCTTTGATTTGGTAGCTTTGATTTGCTGGCTTTGATTTGCTGGCTTTGCTTTGCTGACTTTGATTTGCTAGCTTTTAAACGATAAAATTTAAATTTTAATCCTTTCTTTACACTATAAACTTCGGAAAAGCTTTAGCAATTCATTTAAAAAATTCTTTTTTCAATTTAAACGAATGAATTGCTTCATTTTTGAATTCTTTTCATTCTTATGCATGCAAAATGGGAAAAAGTGTGCTTTTTCACATTCTGGTGAAATTTATTTTTCATTTTTCTTTATAACTTAAGAAAAATAAGAAAAATAAAGAAAATGTAGTTGATTTCTGAAGAAAAATGAAGAACTAAGTGCACTAGAAAGGGTGTGTTTGCAAAATTTTGAGCAAAGAACAAAAAGGATTAGTTTTTATGGATCTAAAAGTTTTCTGCTCAAAGTTTTTTGCTCAAAATGCTCAAATTTTACGAATTTATCACTACTTTCTTCTATAGAAAATCGATTTTTATTTTTTAATTTGTTTTATTTAATGTTTAATTTCATTTAATGTTAAGTTTTAGATTTTAAAGTTTAATCAATTGTTTTTAGAGGAATTAACGACGAAAATGACTGAGGAAGGCGGTGAAAAGGAGTACATCAAGTTGAAAGTCGTCGGACAAGTGAGTAAGACAAAAAAAGTAGCTAGAGCTGGAGCTAGAGCTAAAAGCTAAGGCAAAGCTAAGGCAAAGCTAAGGCAAAGCTAAGGCAAAGGCAAAGCAAAGCTAAAGCTAAAGGCTAAAGCTAAAAGCTAAAAGCTAGAGCTAAAGGTAGAGCTAAAGCTAGAGCTAAAGGTAGAGCTAAAGCTAGAGCTAAAGCTAGAGCTAAAGCCTGAAAGCCAGGACTTGCAACCCAGACTTTAATAGTAAGACAGACCAGGTTAGACAGGTCAGCTCTGTCTTTCGCCTGACGAAGATTTGGAGAAAAGATTCAACAAAGGGAAAGCAATACTATTAGATTATTGGGATCACAACTAATTGTGCTTACTGCAACTGAACACACACCCAATTGGCCGCAAAAGTTGTCTAAAGCTAAAGCTAGAGCTAGAGCTAGTGCTAAAACTAGAGCTAGAGCTAAACCTTTATAGCTAAAGTTTTCAAATCTCAACGGAATTCTTCGTACTTGTCGTACTATTTAGTCAATTCTTATCTATTTATAAAGTTTATAGAGATTCGGATAAGCTTTTACTATTATCTGAAGCTTTAGCTTTATCTGAAAGCTGAAATTTTAACCCAAAAGCTTTCAAGAGCTTCTCAAATTCGAAATATTAAATATTAAAGAAAAATGAATTTCTAGGATGCGAACGAGGTGCATTTTCGCGTCAAATTCGGCACATCGATGGGGAAATTGAAAAAATCGTACGCTGAAAGGACCGGAGTGCAAGTGGGCCAGTTGAGGTGGGGAAATTTGGAGAGCTGATAAAGCCCACAGCTTTACAGTACAGCATCTTTGCCCCGTCAACCAAAACAGGATAAATATAAATTTCCCTCGGCATTTCTCTAGTTTAGTAAAGAGAACGGGAAAATAGTAGAAATGACCGAAAAACGCCTAACAGCCGCCTTTTCTTTGGATTCCTTGGCACGGTGACGGACCGTAGCCATGGCGTAGTCGGGAGCGCGCTTGTCTACGACCCGCACGGCTCGGGTTCGATTCCCCGGTGCTTCGTTCAACTTTGCTTTCTAAAAATTTTTTAAAATGACACAGCTAGAATATATTCTAAGGTTTTCTAAAGAAGTTTTAGCTATTTTGGTCAAAATATGGTCGAGAAAATGCCTGTAAAGACACAGACAGACAGACAGACAGACAGACAGAGAACCAGGCAGACAAGCAGACAGACAGACAGACAGATAGACAGACAGATAGACAGACAAGCAGACAGACAAGCAGACAGACAGACAGACATACAGACAGACAAGCAGACAGACAGACAGATAGACAGACAGATAGACAGACAGATAGACAGACAAGCAGACAGACAGACAGACAGACAGATAGACAGACAGACAGACAGACAGACATACAGACATACAGACAGACAAGCAGACAGACAGACAGACAGACAGACAGACGGACAGACAGACAAACGGACAGACAGACATACAGACAGACAAGCAGACAGACAAGCAGACAGACAGACGGACAGACAGACGGACAGACAGACAGACAGACGGACATACTCTCTCGCTTATAATATGTAGGATTATATTATTATATTATAAGATAGTATATATTCATTAATTCTAGCTTAAATCGATCCAAAACCATCTTAAAACTTGGATAAATATGCAAAAATTGAATGAAGTATAACAAGAATTGAATGAAGATGTCAAAGAACAATTTGCATAGAAACTTGTTGGCAAAGATAGTAGTCGATTTACTATTTAATTATATAAAGATATTCCGATAATTTGCCTAACATTTGCTACTAAATTTCACCTTTTCATCGAAAATTTTCAGATTTCTTTTCGATGGCCGACGAATCAACGACGAGGACACACCGAAGACGCTGGATATGGAAGAGGATGATGTGATTGAGGTCTCTTTTAAGAACCACTTTAAAGTGTACTTTGTGCAACCCTTCCTAGTGTAAACAAACCCTTCCTAGTGCACTGAATTCTTCATTTTATTGCGCTAATGCTGAAGAAAAATGATTGAATTCAGTGAATTGAATTCAGAAAGGGACTGAATTCAGAGAAGGGTAAACGCTACAAAAATTGAGCACAAAGTACACTGAATTTATGTGAGCCTGTAAGCTGCTAAGCTTCCAAAAGATGAAAGGAAACATTTAAAATCAACTTTAAATATATAGCAGTTGAATAGCGACAAGAAAAAATCAAAAAAATTACCCCGGGACACCACTCAAAACACACCCAAAAGAGAAATGGATACCTCAAGAAAGAATCACAGAGCAGTCAAATCAATTGTCGAAATTGCGATTTTAAATCTAGCCAATCTAGGAATAGGAATATCACAAACATCAAGGGGTAAAAGGTTCCACAATTTATTGGGTTGGGGAGAATGAGTCGGCGCCGAAAATGAAAGAAATTTCTAAAACTTATAGCAGACTTTGTCAAATGATATGCGTTTGATATCCGTAGAAGGGTAACTAATTCTCTACAAAATAATATTTAAAAGAGAACTCAAACAGCGCCTCAACTCAACAAAGGATCATTTTTTCACAAGATCGATAAACTGTCAACTATTGATAGAATTTTCAAATTGTCTTTTAGAAAACTTTCAAATTAACACCTTTCCTGGGTCCTGGACCAGCTCTGTACTCTGTGTCTTGGGTCTTATCTTTTTAGAACAAAAAAACACCAGATTTCTACTGCATCAAAATATTTTGCTTATAGCTGCTCTATTTTGCTGCTAATAACTGCTCTATTTTGCTGTTAATAGCTTCCAAAACTTTTGTGGCAAGCCTGGGATTGGCTTGTTATTACAATTTAGCTTGTTCAGATCTTGATCAAATCAATTTAGCTTGATCAGAATCAGAAAAAACTGGTTCGGGATATTTCTATAAGAATGCTTTTGATTCAAAGCTTGAGTTTAAACTTTGCCAATTTTAGATCTTTTTTAAGGCCAATCCAAAGCCTATTGAAGGAAATCTTGTTCGGCTTTAGCTCAAGTTAAGCTAAGCCATAGCTTTCAAGCGTTTTGTATGACTTTTGGCTTTGAAACAACTCTACCAATCTCTATCAAGCAACTCTACCAGAACTCAGAGCGCAAATTTCCGAAGTTACAAATGAATCTAGTTCTAGAAATTTATAGGTTAAAAAAGATAAAGATAGCTCATTTAAAGAGAAGCAAAATATAAATTAATTGAGAGAAAAAGATAGACGAGTCAAAACACGCCTTACTTATTGGACAACCTAATATTTAAAAGAGAACTCAAACAGCGCCTCAACTCAACAAAGGATCATTTTTTTTCACAAAATCGATAAACTGTCATCTAGAGTAAACGGTTGGAGGGATCTTCCTGAAAATTTGGTAACTTATGTAATTGAGTGTGCTCTATCTTTTTTATATAAACACCAAAGGAGGTTTATGTGGAAGAAACTGTTCAAGCAATGAGTCGCACTTTTTGTCATTTTGATTAGCTGTGTTTGGGAATCCATAAAATCCCAAAAAAGAAAAGCTTTGTGGAATCTCTCAAAAGCCATTTTGTAAAGAAATAGTGGACCATTTTGATGAAACAAAACGTGTATTTAAAGAAGGTTTTATGGGTGCAAAAAGTTTCTTTAAATTTCGGCGCCGACTCATTCTCCCCAACCCAATAATAACAATAGAATTCAGAAATTGCTTGAATTCAGAAAAGGGTAAACGCTACAAAAAATTGAGCACAAAGTACAACGAATTTCTGTGATTCTGTAAACTCGTAGGCTTTAAAAAAAGACGAAAGGAAACATTTAAAATCAACTTTCAAACGTTTAATGCAAAATTTCATATCCAAATTGCATGAAAATTTCATGAAAATTTCAGGTCTACGCCGAGCAACTAGGCGGATAAAATGCTTCAAATTTTGACTCTCCAATGATCTCAAGAACTCCATTCCATTCCATTCCTTATAATTTTTCACAAAAAACTTTATTAATTTACTTATATTCTAATAATTCTTGATATTTTTTTATATTTTTTTAATATATTTTCTTAAATTTTTTTTGTTTATTATTATTTCATTTTAATTTTTTATCTATTATCAAATTTATTGTTGTTTTTGATTGAAAAAGATTTCATTTTTTGTTTTTCATTTCATTTTTTGCTTTCCATTTCATTTATTTCATTCATTTTATGCAAACTGGTAGGAATAAATATTTTGGAAAATTTTGAAATAGAAATAAGCTTAGAATAGAAATAGAAATAAGAACAGAATAGAAATAGAAATAAGCAAGAATGGAGTCTTCGATTGGGCTAGAATTGGCCTAGTGAAAGAATTGGCCTAGTGGCCAATGCCTAGCCTGAGATCTGAACAAAACCAAGCCTTGAATGAACACCGGATTCTCTCTAATAGTAGTGCGCACTACTATTTGTTTCAACCTCCTTCTGGACCGCAATGCTATTAAAGAGTGCACTGCTACATTGGATATGGAAGAGCACTGTATTAAAGAGTTTTATCATTTACCAAAGTAAGAAAGATATAAGATTTGTTCCAAAAATTCCAAAAAAAGCAACTTTCTAAGAATTCTGATAACAAATTGGCTTCTGATAACAAAAAGTTAACTAAACAAAAAAATCTACAACAAAATCATCATTTGAATCATCATTTAAAACATAATCCTTATCCAGTTCAATATTTTTGAGTTGATCGATTGTTCGAGACGAGCATTGGCTCCGTTGATCGATTGTTCGGGACGAGCGTTGGCGAGAAGTGTTGCGCCTTCAGGAATCGGTTCTTCTTATTTGAAGCAATGAATGATACCATCTTCAGAGCCATCAGTAACTGTGGTAATTTGTACTACTATTTTTTCAATCCCTCTCGAATCGCAATACGATTGGTGAGTGCACTACTATTAAGAGAGAATACGGTATTCCATCGTACTCCAGATGTCAAGAGATAAAACGCTTAACTTGGATCAATCTCTCAATTTGGATCAATCTCTCAACTTCGCCACTGTTTAGTAACACAATGGTTTAACAGAATTCAGAATTTGTAGTCAAATTTGTCAAATCAAACAGTCAAATTTGAGAAAAGATCCCAGGAATTTGGGGATTCGAGATCGGCGAATCGATTGGCGCTATTCATTTTATGAAAAGCTGATTTCATTTTTTGATATCATCTTTGATATCTGATAAATTAGTGATAAAACCGATTTACTTTATTTGGATCTTTTCCTTAAATTATGATTTGATTCAACGTGGAAACAAGCATTGAACCAAATGTTAGGTGACCAGTGGTCAGCGTTGCTAGGCAACTCCCCCCTCTCTCGCATTTCCTTGGTACCCCATGGTGCCTAGAAAAAGATATAAATAAACATAAAACTTTATTCAACTAATGTTTTCATTTATTCAATAAAATGTCTATCATCAATTATTCCCTTCTTGAAGATTTTCTTGATAAAGGCACTGAAGATATTGATCAGATTCAGCTGTGGTACGAGAGATTGGCTGAGGTGGGGAAATCTTGCTAAAAAGTTGTTGCTAAAAAGTCAATTTTCGAACTTTCACTTGTTAATTGAAGATCTTATTGTTTGTAATCTGATTAAAAGTCAATTTTAAATCTTTAACTTGTTAGCTGAATATCTTATTGTTAATAACATTAAAATTGTTTCTTTAAGTATGATTTTTTCTGATTAAAAATCAATTTTCGATCTTTAACTTGTTAGCTGAATATCTTATTGCTTGTAATCCCCTTAAAACCCAATTTGAAATCTTTAACTGGGAGTGGGACAAATGCTACCTTTTTTTTGCGCACCCGGACATTTGCGCACCTTTTTTCCGCACTTGGCCCATTAGCGCACCTTTTTTCGCGTTTAAAAAAGCTCTAAAAGCTAATATTAACCAATTTCTATTCCAAAAGTTGTTTTTCTAGGTCATTTTAGGGCGTAAAATCGAAATTTTGACATATCAGAGCTTGTGGAAGCGAACGGACGGAGTTAAGAGAAAAATCAACAATTTTCTGTAATTTGACCTAGCCTTTGACCTAGTTTTGTCTTTCAAATTGGTTCCACAAGCTCTGATATGCCAAAATTTCGATTCTACGCCCTAAAATGACCTAGAAAAACAAGTTTTGGAATAGAAATTGGTTAATATTAGCTTTTAGAGGTTTTTTAAAACGCGAAAAAAGGTGCGCTAATGGGCTAAGTGGGGAAAAAAAGGTGCGCAAATGTCCGGGTGCGCAAAAAAAGGCCGCATTTGTCCCACTCCCATTTTCGATCTTTCACTTGTTAACTGAATTGTTAACTTATTGCTTGTAACCTCCGTAAAACTCAATTTTAAATCTTTAACTTGTTAGCTGAATATTTAATTGTCTGTAATCTGTTTAAAACTCAATTTTAGATCTTTAACTAGTTAACTGAATATCTTATTGTTAATTAAAATCTTCTAAGAAATTTCATTAACACACACTCAATCACAAAAACCAAATTTTTGGAGTAATAAAGAATTATTTAAAGGGTAGTGGATCCAATTTTTCGTATTGCTAAGGTTTAGTAATAGATTTGACGGCTTTTAAATGAGTAGTCAAGGTTTAACGATCCATTTTTGTATTACAACTTTGTTCAGAGGTAATATTTTTCCTAATTTTTTTATATAGTTTTAATGCGGACAAGTCAGTCTTTCAAATAATACCAAATAAAAATTGATTGGATTATTTAATCTGTGAAATCTTTTGAAAAAACAAACCCAACTCGTTCAAAAATAGATCAGCTTCTTGTCTCTTGATTTTCATGGAATCAAATGACCCCAGTCACCTTTATTTTATAGCATTCTCAAGTCTGACGTATCCTCTTTAAAACAATATATAAAGTTAACAATAATATTATCTCTAAACAAAGTTATGAGCCGTTAAACCTTGACTAATTTAAAAGCCGCTCAAAAGCTCACCTTTAAGTTCGCTTTTAAGTTTAAGTTTAAGCCGCTTTTAAGTTACAAGAGTCATAGATTTTTATGCTTTTATTTAATATTTGGTATTTGTTATTTGATATTTGGTATTTGATATTTAATATTTTACTATGTTTTTCTTATATTAATTTTAATATGTTTCTGAATTTAGTATGAACTCGATGGTAAAGAGAGCGGCCGCGAGCTGGAGGTGCTCTTTTCCGCGATGAAACACGTCGCTCATTTCTCATTCACCGCCGCCGAAGAGTTGAAGGTAATTTGGTTATTGATAAGAAATTCTATATTCAGCTGAAGATATTCAGAAAGATATTCAGCTTAAAGGCTGAATAATTATTATTGTAGTGTGTCTTTGTAGGCCTTTAGATTTTTCTTCTCATAGCTTCTTTTGATTTGCCTTCTTTTGTCAACTTTGAGTTATCGTAAAGAAGTTGGAGTAGTTTGGCTTCGTTGAGCTGTTCAACTTGATATTTTATCCTCTAATAATAGGAATTATAATTATAATTATACCTGTGAACTATTTTTTTTCATGTTATTTTTAGGAAGTCGCTGAGGGAGAGGCGATCGCGATGGCTGAACGAGAGGCCCAATGGGAAGAGCAACGATTGCAGATGAAGGTTGGGAAATTGATAGTTAATATTTGGTTCTTCTCGGGAATTCGCGAACAAAAGAGAAAAAGTCCCAAGCGAATAGAATTGGCTTTGGGTTTTGGATATGATAGCTTTTCACAATGAAAAGACCCGTATTTTGTCAAAAACCCGGATTTCCGAGAAGAATCAACATTTTCAATATCTAGACGTGTAAGATTTCATTGAATTAAAGTTTAAATTATAAGCTGTTCAGGAAGAAATCGAGGACTTGCGCGAGAAGATCGCCGGCGGAGCCGAGGGTTTCAGCGAGGGATTCGATGCACTCCGGGCACAAATCGACACATTAAAGGTTTGATATTACTATTTATTATATATCATTATATATTTTTAAAAGTAATCTTGATGAACATTCTAGGAAGAGAATCGCCAACTCCAACAGGACAGCCGAGATCGAGACAGAGAGATCGCTGATCAAAGGGATCGTTTCGAGAATATTGTGGCGAGGACGGAGGCTTTGCAGAGAGAACGGGACACATTATTGTACAATGTAAGGAATATATTAAAATTCATTTTAGTTTTAAAGTTGGTTAAAACCTCTAGACTTCGAAAAGAGCCATAAAATTGGCAGCTAGTTGTTGGATTCAGTTTTGATAATCTTGATCGTCTCGCTTTTGATCTTGATTATTTTGATAATCTCGATGAACCCGGATAGTTGTCTTTTTGGAACTGTATACAATATTTTCCGGATTCTAGAATTCAAATGATGATTTCAGAGAGCCCAAATGGAGGACACAATACGGGAAATGAACCGCCGAATCTCATCAAAAAACGAAGAGAGAGGTGACTGGGAAACGAAGAAATTGAGGCAAAGAAACGAGCAAGCCGCGCAATTGTCCGACCAAATTCATGTATGGTAAAGAAAATAGCTATTATACAGCGGAAAATTTTAGGACTAAGAGCTTTTAGAGGAAAAATGACCAATCTATTCTTGAAATTAAGTCGTTCAGAGTTAAGTTATTCGTTAGTTTTTAAGTTTTTAAGTTGAGAAAAAAGCAAAAGTCCAAAGTTAAGTTATTATCTTTTCATAAATCTAAAGTAGTATAACTTAAAGTAAACAAGGAGCACGGACTTCTTCATGCAAATTTTTTCTTAGCAAACTTTGCCGAACAAAATTATAGGACCTTTACATTGGAAATTGATAAAGACTGGAATGTAAAAGTAGTTTAAAAGAAGATATGCTACTGAATAGAAGATATGCTACTGAATAGAAGATATGCTACTGAAACCAAGTTTTTCAGGTGTAAAAAACTTCAAACATGATTTCTACAATTTACAAAAAATTTCATGTCTCCTCCTTGAAGATTTACAGACCTAAAGGGCAAAAAAACTCAAAATTTCCTACATTTTTCTCAACTTAATAACTTAACTTTGGAACTGTTCATTTTTTCAAGAATGAGCTGGCATTTTTTCTCTAAAAACTCGGTTCTATCATTTTTTTTTCGGCACTTTTTTTGCTTTGATATTGTTTTGTTGAAATCTGGAACTTTTTAGGTAATCGTTACTCAAAACGAAGAACTCCGAGAGGAAATCACTCGCGTGTCAGCCGCTTTGGAGCAAGCAACAAGACTCATCGAGGACACTGGCAAAAAGTGGGATTTAATTATTAAAATTTCAAATGTCAAGCCATTTTTCCTTTGCTTACTTTATTTTACTTATTATATACCGTATTTCTTCGAATAGAAGACCGGGTAAAGAGTATCATTGCGTACTCCTGCGTAGCAGCCCTTTTTAAAATTTCTTTTCTGCATAAAAGCTTTTAATGATGTGCTATAGGGCTGGAAAATGGCTCAAAAATCTGTTAGCTCATGTGGTATTTTTGAGTCATTTTCCAGCCCTATAGCACTTCATTGAAAGCTTTTATGCAGAAAAGAAATTTGAAAAAGGATGATACTACGCAGGAGTACGCGATGATACTCTTTACCCGGTCTTCTATTCGAACAAATACGGTATCATAGACATACAGTACTTTTTGCAGAGTGACCAGAAATCACCGGTCCTTTTTTAGGCTCATACTGCTGTTATTTGTAGACGAAAACAATTCATTTCTTTTTTTAAATGAAAATTCATATCATTTTCTGTATGTTCAAAATTTCATGACCATAGCATTGATCGATAATTTTTTATGAACGCTCAAAAATGGCTGGCAAAAATTTGAGTTGTGTTATTTTTTGATCAGCCATTTTTGAGCGTTCTTAAAAAATTATCTTATCAATGCTATGGTCATGAAATCTTGAACATATACAGAAAACGATATGAATTTTCATTTTAAAAAAGAAATTAATTGTTTTCGTCTACAAATAACAGAAATATGAGCGCGACTATTAGGACGGGTTGTTTCTGGTTACCCTGTATATGACTGATTTTTAGATACTCAACTCTGAGCGATAACTATGAAGCTGCAAAAGAACGAATCATCATTCTAATGAAAGAAATCGACTTGCTAAATGGACAGGTGAACTTTAAATAAAGTTAAACTTTGTACTTTGTGCTGAAAATGTAAGCGCATCCTTTCTGAACTCTTCACGTTTTTCATGATACAAAATAGATGTAAAATAGAAACTTTATGGGCCAGAAAGTGTGTGTTTACAAGCTCAAAAAGTCACACAAAACAGTTTTTTGATGTTAGATATGTTTAGAAATAAATAAAATATATGATGTTGTCAAAAAAAGTTTTAGATCGATGACAAAGAGGCCGTACTTTCCGAGTACACAAATCAGGCTCATGAAAAAGGATCTTTCTTTGAGGTAAGTAAATTAGAGCTACAATAACGAGAATATTAAATTAATAAAGAATAAATAGATAATTTTATACAATAAGAGAATTTCAGAACACTTTGGACAAGAAAAACACGGAGATTTTCGAGTTGAACAAAAAACTCGAGACGGCATTAGGAGAGATACAGGTTTTTTTTTTTGCAAAAATATTTATTATAAAGATATTATGGATATTTTTTGATATATATTATATAGATTTGATCTATAGTTTGGGGTGCGACCCGCTTTAACCTTATCAACGAGGATGATTCTGCTTAAGAATGGCCGAATAGCACAAAAGGTTAAAAGGGTTTCCCCCAAAAGCGCTTACAACGTAACAAGAACACGTAGTATCCAACAATAGATTAATACTCTTGAGAAGAGTACAGATCGGATTGATACTACGTCGATGGTGACACAAATGTTAGCAAAACCTCTCTACAATGTTAAATCAGTCATCTAAACAGGATTTAAAACCTGAAGGGTAGCATAAAGTAAAGTGAATTTATAACGTTACTGTTTATTAGCAAAATAGCAACGCAAATAGGAAGGAAACGCGGACGCGACCTATTTTAGCAACTTCGTTTACACATTCGAACCGATACTACCGCTGAGAAAGAGCGAGAATTGGAGAAATTGAGGGACGAGGTTGGTGCAAAACTGTTTTGTTTATTCTGATTTGCCAAAACGTACTCAAAAGATAAGCTGGATATCTTTTAAATACTTCAATTAATCTCTGATTCAAATTCAAATTCAAATTGATGAAATTCAAATGATTTTAATCTTTGAGAACTGAAATTTTGGGATTTCCAATTAAATTTTCCTTAATTTTCATTGAATTCATTTTCAGCTTGTCGCCGCGACGAAAATGGCTCGTTCCCTTTTCGGTACCGATGTTGAGAGTAGCGATGATCCGACAATACAACTACGGTAAAGGATCTTTGAATTGAATTTCTAGAATTTCAATTGAATTGGAAATTCAGTTTACACATCATCCAACTTGAGAAGAACCTTGAGGAGATGAGAAGCGAGGTGAGTGACAAGTCTTGAACCTGAGCCTGACCCTAGCCTACACCTGGATCAAATTTCTTAATCATCGAGCCAGGCTAGTTTCCAAAGTAGACTAGAATCTTGACCAGGGTCAGGTCCCAGACTCGAGCCAAGTTCAGTACCAGGGCCAGGTCCCAGACATGAGCCAGGTACAGTACCAGGGCCAGGTCTAATCCCGAACCAAACAAGACCAGGACCATGGGCCAGACTGGGGCAAGGGCTTGGGCAAGGACCACCCTGGGCGTCAGTTATTCTAAACTACTTGTTAACAATCGAGAGTTCAGGTACTAGCTAAATCTACTATACATAAAATAAATCTACTATATACCTAATACCAAATTCAGCTTGAAACCACGAAAGTCGACCTCTCGAGAACGACAAGTTTGGTGGAAGGAAAAGACTCGGCATTCGCCGATTTATCCGCTCAACATCAGAGATTGCAAGAAGTCAATACCTAGCAAACTTTAAAAGAATATTTTCATTTCATTTCGGCAATTCAATTTTTTTGATGGACGAGATTTAGTTGAAACTCGGCGACTCGCTTTCGGAAGTTCGCCGCCTTGAGACACAGCTGCGATTTCGGGATGAGCAATTGGAGAAATTGACGAGGCATTGCACAATGCTACAGGTGAATCTAATAACTATTAGAAATGTAGAATTGTAATATTCAAATTAAAATCAAATTATCAAAATTTTAGGTTGAACTGGGTAGATATGCTGAAATTGGTCCACCGCCAAAACGACGACGAGAAAGAAAAGAAATCGTTGAAGAGCCGGCTAAAGAAAAACCCGAAAAAATTAAGAAAGAGATAAAGAAACAAAGGGAAAAAGAAAATCAAGAAAAAGAAAGAGAAAAAGAAAAAGAATTGGAACGATCGGAAAGTGAAGAAGAGAATGGAGAAGAGAAGAAGTGGAGGAGTCAAGGTTGGTGTTTTGAGGTGTACTTTGAGTTATATGAAATTTATTAGCATAACATTCAAAAATGAAACAACAAAACATAATTCTAACCTATCTACCTATTAAATTAACTACCTATCTAGTCAAAAATCAACAGAAACATCACTTGAATCATTATCTCCATCCAATACAAAATTACCGAGCTTATCCTTTATTTCATTAATCGATTGCTCAAGTCGCGCGTCGGGGATGGGAAGGAGAAGTTTTACACCTTCAAGAATCGATTCTTCATTTTTGAAACAGTCAATGAAATCATCTTCCGAGCCATCGTAGCTGTAGTAATCGCACAATTCTTGAACGAGTGAATCGGTCGTAGGTCGGCGAGTTGAGAATCTGTCTTGTCTTGTCATGAATCGACTCAACCATCCCAGTGATGCGGAAAATTCCTTGTCGTCTTCCCAAATCAACCTCGCTTGACTTTGAATCATTTCCGAGTCACCCGCGTTTTCTTAGCTTGAGCTGCTCGAATCAAATCCAGCTTCTTGTCGAAATCAGCATCCTTGAGTTTGCGTCCGCCGGCTTTGATTCGCTTCGTTCCCTTTCCGTTCTCTTTGCTTTGTTTCTCGAGCTCATCCATCCTCGAGCTCGAGCTTACAGGCACCATTGATGAAGATTTTGACAGTTTACTTCAAATTGCCTCGCTATCTGTAACTCTGCAGACAAACTGGCTTTGTTTCTCGAGCTTTTGCAATCACCATTGATAAAGATTTTGGCAGTTCATTGCAAAATGCTTCGCTGCAGTTGATATGTCGTTCAACTTTGCCAACAACTTTGACAATAACTTTGACAATAACTTTGACAACAACTTTGACAACAACTTTGACAACAACTTTGACAACAAACTTTGTTCCAGCATCAAAACAACGTTTCTTTTTCTTCACAAGTGGTTCATCGAGCTCGTTCGAAGATTCTTCGGCATAAACGTGAATCGAATTCTTGTTGACGTCCTGTTGAGCGCTTCGATTACCCTACTCCTTGAAAAATTTCTTCCGTTCATTGTTCTCCCGATGAGCTCGAAATTCTTCAAACCCCCATCAAACGATTTTCCATTGAGATTCATCTCTGAAAAAAATGATTTAGGCAAAGAAAAGTCAAAAGAAAATTTATAGAACACTAAAATCGAAGTTGATGAATTATTTTCTCAGTTAGAGCTTTGATACCAAGAGAAATTATCGCCATAAAAGTTAAAAGAATTTTCGAGGAAAGTAAACTTTTAAATTCGAGCAGCAACACACTTTTACGGAATCAATTAAATCGCTTTGAAAAATTTCTGTGCAGAGAAATTAAAATACCGTATTCTCTCTAATAGTAGTGCGCACTACTATTTTTTGAACCCCCTCCTGGACCGCAATAAGAGAGTGCAGTACTATTAAAGAGTTTTATCATTTACCAAAGTAAGACAGATATAAGATTTGTTCCAAAAATTCTTGCAATTCTTTCACGTACTCCTTTGGCTCCTTTTGACATACAGTTGTGGGCCGGCGAGTTGACAATTTGTGTCTTGACAAACAACAAAAAGATGTTTTTTGCACTTTGCACAACAATTTTAGATTTTTTTGCTAACTTTTTCATGTGAAGAATAGTTAATAAATGAATAAAAAAAAAGCCTCACTTTTGCTTGCTTGAATAGCTTTAGAATGTCACATAAACATAAAGTCAAAAAGGTTTAGATGAAAAAAAAGCAAACAGAAATTCAAATTTTCGGGGGGGTGCACTACTATTTTTTTTCAACCCCCTCCTGGACCGCAATACTATTAGAGAGTGCACTACTATTAAAGAGTGCACCTCTATTAGAGAGAATACGGTATTCAGTCAACAGGTTGAAACACGTTTAAATAAGTAAAGATTATTAAAGTTAAAAATACAAATTTGATGCTAATTTCGCTAAAAGACAAATTTTGGCAGGATTATTTTTTTTCAAACCCCTCCAGAACTGCACAACTATTAGGGAAAATACGGTAGTTTGGATAAAAGCTCGATTGCAGTAGGGAAAGACTTTAGAAAACGTAGTTATTTTAGGTCAAAAAGCAAAAGAGTATCGCGAGCGAGCCGCCTTTCGCCTTCTCGATTCATCCCGCGGCGATCTCGAGTCACAAGCGATTCTCATCGCTACTCTTTATGAAGAAATGATGCAGCTATTATTGGTAAAAATTTTTCAACCCTTGGATTATCTTTAGATTCGATTATTAACCTAAATACAAAAAATAATCATTAAATTAAATTCCAGGAGCTCGATAAGAAAGACGAACTCTTGTCAACTCTCTCAAAAGGATCCCTCGAAGCGCAAAAAGCTCTGGAAGTGATGTGCGAGAGGTTGAGATTAGGTAAATGATTTTGAAAGGAAATTATTGATAAAGTGATACAGTAATACGTCAAAACTTTCAGCTCACATTCAAATCGAAGCACTTGAGAGGGAGAAACTTGAGGAGAACAACGGCGATGAAAGAGAACTCGGGGAAGCGGCTAAAATCGAGATTCAGGTGGATAAAGGACACGGACAGGGTCTAACGGAAGTCGGAAAGTGTAACTAACTAGTCCGTTAGTTACACTTTTTTCCGGACAACTACATTGTCTCAGTTCGGGAATGCCCAGATTATCTGAATTTCAATCAAATTCTTGAGGTCGAATCCAGGATTTTAGTTCTAGGACTATAAAGTGAAGATTGAAAGAGCTACCAATGCACGAAACGCAATTGGTGCAATAGGTTCAGGCAATTGCAATAGGCAATTGGTTGCTTCTCAAACAGCATCAAGATTTCTTCTCATTTCAGAATGCTCTTCGAGCCATTGAAATTGGCGGTGATGAGTTGGAGAGACGAATGGCGGAAACGTCAAGAAAAATGGTGTCTGAAAGGGTACGAGCGAGGAGAGCAGAAAGAGCATATAATAGATTTAAGAGGTGAGGATTACATTAGCTTGCAATACTTTTAACTAGATACAGTAGTATCAAATTTTTCTTACTATTAACACGTTGACGACAATGGCGTTTTTGCACAAACAATCGCATGGGACAACGTTGTTGTTTTTTTCGACAAAAAATGTCACCTGACATCAGGTGACAATGTCCCAGGCGAACGAATATGTGTCAGACAGCATCAGGTGACAATGTCGTCAACGTGTTAAAAGATAAAAGAAGACAGGGATATTGACCTGTCATTTCTTTTAAAAGTTTTAAAAAACCTTTCATTTCTTTTCCTAAAGTTTAATCTGAATTTCTCTTTCTTGTAGTAAAAGTTGAAAGGATTTGTGAAAATGTGCTAGAAAAGTGTGCTAGAAAAGTGTACTAGAAAAGATGTGTTTAGATTTTAGAACACAAAATACATGAACAAGATTTAATGATAGTTTTGAGCTTTCAGGAAATTTCAACGATCCGAAGAACAAACAATCAAACTCAAATCAAGATTGATCACCGAGAAAAGTCGGCTTGAAAAACAATTGGCTCAACTACAGTATGATTTGGTAGAAATCGTTGTCTTTATCAGAAATCGTTTATCAAATTGTCTTTCTTTTCATCAATTTCATCAATTTCATCAATTTCATCAATTTCATTGATAAATTAACAAAATTTCTAGGATCTCTCATCAATCGAAACAGCTCGTTTAATGGAGAAACTCTTGCACAGTGTCTCGATGGGAGAATACGAGGAATTGAGAGGGAAATACGAGCATTTAACCAAGAACACGGCTTTCGGGGGGAATTCGGTGAATTCGATGAATTCCCAAGTACAAGTAAGCAAATTTACAAGTCAAGAGGGAATTTTGGAAATATTTACCACAGCTTAACAAGGACTTTCAAAAGAAAATCTCCAAAAAAACGAATCCTTTTTGTTTTGTGCTCAACTTTTTACAATTATATAATGAAATTAATGTTACTAGATGTCAATTAATGTCAATAAATTTCAATTTAATGTCAATTTAATGATTTCAATTTCTAGAATCAATCGGATCCCCTAAAAATCTCTCTGATGACCGCTCATCAAAAAGAGGACTACGATGAGTTGGTGGCGAGGAATGCGTACTTAAAAGTAGGTTTTTTAGGTTACCCAGAGATTTCTACAATCACTGCCATGACCGTCATGGTCGAATGGCTAAGAGCCTTGTATCTTAGTTAAGGTTAAGGTTAAGGGCGGGAGGTTAAGGGTTCAATTCCGCTAGCTAGATTATCCATTTCGTTCGTTAAAGTCGGTTTTTTCCATATACAGTCGCACCTCTCTAACAACGTAACTCACGGGAACGGCTATAGTTTATGTTATATCGAGATTTTGTTATAGAGAACCAAGTACGTAGGATTTATTGCAATCATTGCGTTATATAGAGATATTAGAATATATTTATTGCAAAAACTGAGCAAACAAGATAAAAATTATCAAAAATCATCAAAGTTTAGTAAAAAGATTAGTCAAACGGAATTGTTTAGCAGAAAAAAATAGCCTGACCTAAGAAAAACATTATCAAAAGTTGCTAAAACATTAACAATTCCATTATTAGGGTTATTCCTCACAAATATAGAGATTTACGTTATGTTGAGCTTCGTTATAACGAGGTTCGACTGTACAGAGTGTTCAATAATTCCCCGGACTTAATATTTTAAGGGTAAATCAGCAGAAAGATTGATCGAAATCTAAAGAATGGTAAAACAGAACCTAGTCATGTTTAGTATCAAAATGAAGCCTAAAATAAGGGCTTGCGGGGGAACTAGGTTTCATGCTTGAAAGAAAAAAATGGGCAGGAAAAAATCGAGGAGCGAGGCAGACTGTCTGAAAATTTCGGACTCGTTAAGCAGGTCTGCTGAGCACTCAGACCTGTAATCATCTCACGCTTTGTTTTAATAGAAAATTTAAATATTTTTCTATAGCTGACTCTTAGAGTTAACGAAAAAAACGTTTTACTGCCTTTTTTATAGTACCTCAAAGTTGGCAGTGAGGAGTTGCTTGGCGCAGCACTTGTTTTTAGAGAATTTAGTAGTAAAAATTTTGGTGATCATGAACGTTTTATCGCTAAATTTAGTTTTATTTAATTGCATTTGCCTAAAGGTTAAAGAATCACATTTAAAAGAAACTGAAAAATGACAAAATTTCGATTCAAAAGTCTTTGACAAGCCAACTGTGAAGCCGAGATTCTCAAAATAGCAAAAATTTTGCCAAATTGAGTGTCACGTTACTTTCCAAGTCGTTTGATAATGTTTTAAAAGGTATTAAAAAGCAAAAGTTTCCCAAAGAAATGCTCAATCTTTGAAGTTTTCTGGAAATGAAAGCCAAAAAAAGTCAGAACAAGTGCTGCGCCAAGCAACTCCTCACTGCCAACTTTGAGGTACAAAAAAAAAGGCAGAAAAACGTTTTTTCGTTAACCCTAAGAGTCAGCTATAGAAAAATATTGAAATTTTCTATTAAAAGAAAGCCTGTGATAATTGCACATCTGAGGGCTGAGTTAAAATTAAAATATTGAGTCCGGGGAATTATTGAACACTCTGTACAGTCGAATCTCGTTATAACGAAGCTCAAAATAACGTAAACCTCTAAAAGGTAGAAAAACCTTTTTTCGTTAACCCTAAGAGTCAGCTATAGAAAAATATTTAAATCTTTTATTAAAACAAAGCGTGAAATGATTACATATTTGAGTGCTGAGTTAAACTTGAAAAATCGAGTCGGGGGGAATTATTGAACACCCTGTATATGAGTTTTTCCTACATATTTAGGGCTTAGCGGGGTTGAGCTTGAGTTACACTTGAAAGATCGAGTCGGGGGAATTATTGAACACCCCGTATTGTTTGTATCAAATTATTTGTGTGAATAAATTAACTTGTAAATAGATCACTTTAAACTGTTGAAGCATTCAGAAAATGCTTGAGATTCTCACCGATCAAAACGAGTTTTGGAGCCGGGAGTGTGACATTTTGCAGGTGAGGCTGAAATTTTGCCATTCTGATGAAGTGAAATCTGATGAAGATGACGGTGATTTTGGGTTTTAAAGTTACAGTAATCGGATAAGATTTTAAAGCAGCTGATAAAGCAGCAGAAGTCTTTAGATGTTTAGATGTTTAGATGTTTAGATGTTTAGATGTTTAGATGTTTAGATTAGTTTAGATTAGATTAGATTAGATTAGATTAGATTAGATTAGATGAATTCTTTAGATGTTCTATTGTTCTTTAGGCGTTCTATTGTTCTTTAGGCGTTCTATTGTTCTTTCGATATTCTATTGTTCTTTAGATATTCTATTATTCTTTAGATGGAAAATGAAGAGATCAAGCATTTCTTGGAAGATATCGAAAATCGGAGTGATTTACGAGAGGTTTTGGGTGAGATTGAGGAGAAAAATAGCTTTAAAAAGCTGTTTTAAAGCCTAAATTTTCTAGGAGAAATCGAGCGTCGACTCTTGCAAACGATTCGAGAACAAGCCGAAGAGGCTCTTGAAAAAGATGTGAATAAGAGAAATTCGACTGATCTCAATAAGTAATACGATTTTTTTTATATCAAAATCTTAATAGAAGATCTCAATTCTTATTACAATATTACAAAAAATTAGATTTTTCAATGAAATACAAGTTTAAACTGAACTTTTTAGTCGTTATGAGAAAGCGAAAAGTCAATGGAGTGCCCAGAAGCGACATCTCTTCCATGTCATCCAAATGCTTCAATCTACATTGCAGGTTTGTTTTTTTTTCAACTTCTAAGACTCCAACATTGATCTTGTTCCTTAATTTAATCCCCTGAAAAGTTCAGTTCAGTTCAGTGATAGAAATGATAAGATTTAGAGGTATATCTAAAAGATATGTTTTAACATTGAGCATTGAATAAACTCAAGAGTTTACACCCCAAATTACAGTAGTTGAGCCAAAATTGAAAAGAAATAGAAAAGCTTTAAACTTGAAATCAACAACGATTTTTGTTCCTATACGTTCCTAGGTATAAACGGATGTGGACTAGAATTTGGGTTAAGTTAAAGAGAGTGGATCCCTTTTGATATCCCGCCATCTCTAACACCCCGACAACCCAACTCAACTCCTCCAACGTATTAGAGGGGAGTCCCTGTGAAATGACCGACCTGTACTGCAGTTGCATAGACCCGGAAGATATGTATCTTTATTTACAGTAGTACAATAAGACGAATAGATTACAAATGAGTGTAAGGGGAAGGGGGGGACTCCAAAATGAGAGTCTCACTGTCCTCCTAGGCTCCTCACTGTCCTCCTAGGCTCCTCACTGTCCTCCTAGGCTCCTCACTGTCCTCCTAGGCTCCTCACTGTCCTCCTAGGCTTCTCACTGTCCTCCTAGGCTCCTCACTGTCCTCCTAGGCTCCTCACTGTCCTCCTAGGCTCCTCACTGTCCTCCTAGGCTTCTTACTGTCCTCCTAGGCTCCTCACTGTCCTCCTAGGCTCCTCACTGTCCTCCTAGGCTCCTCACTGTCCTCCTAGGCTTCTTACTGTCCTCCTAGGCTTCTTACTGTCCTCCTAGGCAATCCTAAGGACCGCCCCTTCTCGGCAATAAAAGGGATAAGCACAGAGGAGAACACATTTGCATAAGAATAGACAAATCATTCAATAATAACAATAGTAACTAAAATATCAGTTTGGCTCGGAGCTAACATTCCAAACAGCACCTTTACACTATTCGATTTTTAGAGAGATCGACAAACTCGTGTTGATGGTTTAACCCTCCAACAAATCGAGATTTTTCAATCGAAACTCGCCGATTTGATAATTCGCGATGATGAGCTCAAAACGAAGAGCAATGAGGTGATTTTATTGACTAGAATTCTACTGTTTAACAAGAAAAGGTCACAAAATTGAGGTGACCAAATGACAGCCATATACCAAATCAGAATACCATATAGAATCAGAATACCGACGCAGAATTTTACGCTGATTCCGATGCTGAAATTTGTTTTTGGAAAATGATTAGGAAACGATCTTTTAATTGATAACAAAGAAAGTAACAAAACAAAAAATTAACACACAAATTAGCACATTAACATAAAGTGAATGAATGAAATGAAATCAATTAAAATGTTATCAATTAAAAGATATCATAACACTTAAAGTTAAAATAGAGCGAATAGAGTTAAAATAGAGCGAATAGAGTTAAAATAGAGTGAATAGAGTTAAAATAGAGTGAATTGAGTTAAAATAGAGTGAATTGAGTTAAAATAGAGCAAATTCGAGCGATTCAACATCAAAATAAAATGAAAATGAAAGGAAGGGATCGAACCCGGGTGAAAAACGGGAAGGTTGTTTCGGAAATAGGTCCCTTATCCACTACACCACGAGTTCACATTGACGGTGAAAGAAGCCTTATAAAATTCAAACGATTAAACACCGAAAATAAAATGAAAAACAGAGGGATGGGATCGAACCCGAGCGATTGAATGTGTCCATTGAATTTTGCCTGATGAAGATACTAAAAGCAGAATCCACTGTTTCTTCATTGGATTTTACCTTGTAGAGAGAATAAGACCAGAATCCACTGTTTCTTCATTGGATTTTACCTTGTAGAGAGAATAAGACCAGAATCCACTGTTTCTTCATTGGATTTTACCTGATAAAGAAACCAAAAGCAGAATCCACTTTTTCTCTAAAACGCTATTCATTTCGGTCGTTTCCGGTCTATTTTAAATTTATCCGAGATTTCCGGAACGTTTCGCAGACTCTGCAGATCTTTAATCTAATTTTTTGGATCTCTCTTCAAAAGGTCACAAAGAAACATAAAAAAACAGCAAGAAAACACCTGTCATTTCCCTTTTTTTTGTTCCAGTTTTTTCTTTCTATTACGAGAAAAATAGTTACCAAGGACAACACAAAAAGGGAAAAGTTCAAGAGAAAAACTGGGAAATTTCAATTTTTAAATCAATTAACCCTATTTCTAATAATTGAATTATGCATTTAATTGAGAATTTCGTTGAAAAATTGGTTTGATTCTGAGAGTTTAAAGAATTTTCAACTTTTTCAATAGATTCTCGAGGTGATCGAGGAAATTGAGAATGATTATCGAAAAATCGACTCATTTGCGAAGGATTTGGTGATTTAAAGGATTAAAATATTCAAATAGTACTTTCAAATAGTACTTTTAATTACTTTTACTTTTACGACTTAAACTTTTCTTTTTGTGAACTTAAACTTTTGTTGATTGAAATTGAAAAAAAAACACTCTTTTTAGTGCATTAAACTCTTCAAATGCATAAAAAAGTGAAGATTTTGGTTAGATTTTTGAGCACAAAGTACCCTTGTACAATTTGATTGAATAGAATACAATAGATTCCTTTTTAGGTGGAACAAATCCGGCTCGATGTTGAGAAACAGTTGCGCTCGTTGGAAGCCGGTTCGCGAGCACAAGAGATTATTGAGGTAGATTTTATTGGGCAACTGCTTCAACTTATCACTGACTTTTGAAACAAGATCTACCGCAAATACGGTAATAGTACCCCACCCGCATAATGACGGTGCGAAGCGTTGCGTAGTCTAGCTTTGAAAGAGTTTCTCTCGACACTGGTTTATGCTACAATGCGCGCTTAGGTACATAGAAAACAAGGCCTTTTTTACTTTCGTTGCAAAGTGCGGGAGTGGGACAAATGCATTCAAACGCTCCCCCCGCCCATTCCATCCAGCCCCCCCCCGCTTCCATTCCTTCCGCTCCCCATCCAGCCCCCTCCAGCTTCCCCATTCCTTCCCCCCCTTCGCTTTCCACCATTCCATTCCAGCCCTTCCTCCAGCCCTCCTTCCGCATTCCAGCTTCCTTCCTTCCTTCCATTTTCCGCTTCCATCCTTCCAGCTTCCATCCTCCAGCTTCCATTCCATCCGCTTCCTTCCTCGCCCCTCCCCGCTCATTCCATTCCAGCTTTCCATTCCATTCCAGCTTTCCATTCCTTCCAGCTTCCCATTCCATTCCAGCTTTCCATTGCATTCCATTCCAGCTTTCCATTCCATTCCAGCTTTCCATTCCTTCCAGCTTTCCATTCCATTCCATTCCAGCTTCCCATTCCATTCCAGCTTTCCATTCCATTCCATTCCAGCTTTCCATTCCTTCCAGCTTTCCATTCCATTCCATTCCAGCTTCCCATTCCATTCCAGCTTTCCATTCCATTCCAGCTTTCCATTCCTTCCAGCTTTCCATTTCAGCTTTCCATTTCTTTCCTTCTAAAAAGAAGTTGCCATAATTTTAGACCACTCTGCATACTAATATTTCTATCTAATTTCTATCTAATTATCAATTTTTCATTTCTATTTAGAATGAAAACGGTGAGCCAATCAGAATCGAGCGAGCCCTTACTGGGGTGCTTCTCGAGGCGGCCCAGTTGAGAGATCAAGAGAGAATCGCTCAAAGCACGGTTGGATTTTGTTGTAAAACATGTCTAATTGAAGTTAAATCTATCTATATATATATATATCAATATAGAAATCAAGATAATCCAAAATAAATTCATCGATGATTCAATTCGATTCAATTCTAGATTCAAAAGCTTGAGGCAACTCTCCTGAAGAAAGAGGCTGAATACGAGGAGATCAAGAAAATCAATCAAGTAGATTTTCTAGATTTTCTATTACTTCTATTGATTAAGCTTTAGGAATTGGTTGATGGATTGATCAAATGGGATGCATGGAAAGAGATGAGTCGAGGATCGTTCAATGGGAAATCACAGAAAGGAAAAGATGGAGGGAAACGCGTGGAAATGGAGATTGAAGAGAATGTGGGTAAAAATAAGGAAAATCTTTAGAGTCAGTTCCAATTCTTTAAAGTCAGTTAGAATAATCTCATCGCGTCAAAAAGCCAAGCTTAACTTTGTCCTGGTTTCTAGAGTTTTTAAAAGATTTTACGAAGCCAGGAGTTTACAATACGGTCAGAAACAGGCTAGGATTGGCTTTTTGCATGATTTGATGTGCGAAATCGCTTTTCAAACATTCCTGAAGCTCAAATTGCTAGATTTGGTTTTTCTCGTTTGTTTAAGTAAAGCAGTTGATCAAAGTAAAGTAATAAAAGTAATAAAAGTAAAAGCTTTGTTAGTTAAAGGATTCGAACTCACGCCAAAAGATTTTCGATATTTCGTAGACAGTAATACTATCCATTATACCACGATCACCACAAAAAAGATCTCGTATTTTTGTTGAAAAACTAAAACCGGATTCGGAATCAGAGTAAAAACTGCATCGGATAGGCTAGGTCTCATTTGGAAAAGCTATGGTGACCTAGTACTATTCCCACATTAGGCTTAGGCACTGGTTTAGGGTTCAGGTACTAGTTGGCTTGTTCAATTTCAGTTTTAGATACTAGCTGGCTTGTTCAAATTCAGTTTCAGGTACTAGCTGGCTTGTTCAAATTCAGGCTTAGATACTAGCTGGCTTGTTCAAATTCAGGTTTAGGTACTAGCTGGCTTGTTCAATTTCAGGTTCAGGTACTAGCTGGCTTGTTCAAATTCAGTTTCAGGCACTTCCTTCCTGTTCAAATTCAGGTTTGCTAGCTGGCTTGAAATCAGAGGACGGGCGCAAATCAGTCGCTTGTTCAAACAGCAGCTGGCTTGTCAAACATTCAGATACTAGCTGGCTTGTTCAAATTCAGTTTCAGGTACTAGCTGGCTTGTTCAAATCAGTTTCAGTATAGCTGGCTGCAAATTCAGTTTCGTACAGCGGCTTGCACAGTTTAGATACTAGCTGGCTTGTTCAAATTCAGTTTCAGGCACTAGTTGGCTTGTTCAAATTCAGTTTCAGATACTAGCTGGCTTGTTCAAATTCAGTTTCAGGTACTAGCTGGCTTGTTCAAATTCAGTTTTAGATACTAGCTGGCTTGTTCAATTTCAGTTTCAGGCCTGGTTGTTCAAATTCAGTTTCAGATACTAGCTGGCTCAAAAATGACTGTAAATAACTTGAATAAGTTTCAAAATCAGCTTTCAGGCTGACGGCATGCTTGACTACCCCGAAGACTATGAGAGTGAAACAACGACAGATAGTGGAGCCGATAGTGAGGAAGGACGATCGCAAAAGGTAACAAAATTATTGATTTGACTGTAATCTTTGACTGTAATAAAATAGTACTATTTACAGTAGTATTTACAGTAGTATTTACAGTAGACTTCGGAAAACAAAACAAAACAAAACTTAACCAAAACCAAAACCACCAAAACTAAAACCATAACAAAACCAAACCAAAACTAACCAAAACTTGCCAATATCTCGCGACTGGGAGGAGCTAGCGAAAATCTGTTTGCAGATTTGAAATCAGCATCCAAAAATCTATCCCATAGGCTATTTTTTGTTTCGAAATTTCGAGGTCGTGTTTTGGTCCTTTTTTCGGCCGCGAGATTTTGGGGAGTGAGAAAAAGTGAAAGGCAAATTTGCATTTTACAATTTTAAATTTACATGTTAATTTATATGCAAATTGAGTTTTGGTGTTTTGGTTTTGGTTTTGGTCTGTTTTGGCTTTGGTTTTTTTTGCCGAACTCTAATTTACAGTACTATTTACAGTACTATTTTGAGTCTAAAAGCCCAAATCAGTTCAACAATTTCAGATTGTTGTGCGCACGATCGTTCGCGACAATCGAAAGCACTTTGAGGAACAAATCGCGAAAATGAAAAAGGCTACCGAGATTTGCATACAAACTTACAAGGTAAAGGTTACGGTACTTTTTATTAACAGACGATTGAAAGATTGTGGATTACTGTAGACAGACGGGAATGCAAATTTAGGAACAATTGGCGCAACGAGACGAAACGGTGACGCGCTACAAGACGATGCTGCAGGCAAAGATCGATGAGCCGCCAAAAGAGGTTGCACAAAAGTCTTGCCAATCTTTGAGCTCAAATTTCTTGGTGTTGAGCTGTTCAATTGAATTGGTTTTTGTACCAATCGATAGAGAAGGACTAGATTGGCAAAAGGGGCGAAGCCAGAAAGACCTTTTATACGCGAGGCCCCGCCCCCTTTGCCATTGGCAATCCAACTTTAAGCTCAAATTTCTTGGTGTTGAGCTGTTCAATTGAACTGGTTTTTGTACCAATCGATAGAGAAAGACTTGGCGCATCTAATGATACCAAGAATATCGAAATTGGACAGTCCAACACCAAGAAATTTGAGCTCAAAGCGCCAAAAGAGGAAATTCGAAAATTTGCATTTATTTTGATGGTGGGTTTTACATAAAATATTTAGGTTATCAAGGAAATCGAAGTGGTGAAAGAGGTTCAAATTGGAGACGAAAATCTGGAGAAAGAAAGAGATCACGCTGTCTCGGAGGCGATCCACTTGAAGACATTGGTTTGATTTTCTGATTTAAAACTTTTAAATATAGAAGTTTATGCATTAGGCAATATTCTACACGTAAATACTAAATTTTCACTACAGTACCATTACAGTAATCCGACAGTACCGCCTTCTTTGCCTAACTCTAACTTTGAGCTCAAATTTCTTGGTGTTGAACTGTCCAATTTCGATATTCTTAATATCATTAGATGCTCCAAGTCTTTCTCTATCGATTGGTACAAAAACCATTTAAATTGAACAACCCAACACCAAGAAATTTGAGCTTAAAGTTGGATTGCCAATGGCCAAGGGGGCGGGGCCTCGCGTATAAAAGGTCTTTCTGGCCCCACCCCTTTTGCCAATCTAGTCCTTCTCTATCGATTGGTACAAAAACCAGTTCAATTGAACAGCTCAACACCAAGAAATTTGAGCTCAAAGATTGCCAATGGCAAGAGAGGGCGTGGCGACCTTTTATACGCGCCCCGCCCCTTTGCCATTAGCAATTTTTGGCCATTGGCAATCAAATTTCTTGGTGTTGGGCTGTTCAATTTAATTTTCCATAGATTCCATAGAGCTTTAACTGGGCACTTTTTAGGTCGAAGAGCTCGAGCAAGCAAATCTGATACTGGCCAGGGAGAGGACCGGTCGACGGACACATGTGGCTAGTGTGAGTTTGTTGAATGATTGAAAATAATACTTAAAATTTCAAATAACCAATATATTTCCAGACCTCACAACAAACCGATTCGATTTTGGAACAAAAAAACGAACCCAAAGGAGAAACAACGCCAAATTTGGAGCCAAATCGAAATGTGAACACTGTAAAAGAAGTAAAAGAACTAAAATTTGAGTTCTTAGTGCAGTTCTTAGTGAAAAATTGTCTAAACTTTCCATTTCCCAGATTGTAGAGACAAAAATTTCAGACAATTGATGACTTTGGTGAGCGAGAATTCACCGATCCTACTCTGCCGCTCAAAAATGAGATCCGAACGCTGAAGGAACGATTGCGCAGGTTGACCACAGCGAATAAGGTAGTTAATTGAGTAATTGATTCAATATTTTATGTAAGCTAAAGAATTTGTAAGCTAAATTTGTCTGGCTAACAGTTTGGTTAGAGAAAAAGGCAACTTTAAGACTCAGGAATGCTAAAAATGGCCAACGAGTCACTTTTGTTTGCCTTCTATCCTGTCGTGACTGCAAAATTCTGACTTTCCTTATAAACGAATCCCCTATAAGGTTATAATCCTGATTATAACTTAACGCTTAAGTCGGTACTGTAACTGTAACTCGCTCGTATGCTAATTTCCATCATCCGTACCTTCTCCTCGCCATAAACTGTACCAAAAAGTTCTTGTTCTAACACCAGTTTATGTTTTAATATAACAGTTATAACAAACTTGAAGACGAGTAAAAACAAGGAAACAAACAAGCAAACAAACAAACAAGGAAACAAACAAGGAAACAAACAAGGAAACAAACAAACAAACAAGAAAACAAGGAAACAAACAAGGAAACAAACAAACAAACAAGAAAACAAGCAAACAAACAAGCAAACAAGCAAACAAACAAACAAGCAAACAAACAAACAAGCAAACAAACAAGCAAACAAACAAACAAACAAACAAATCCATTTTAATAATATATAGCCATATTTGGGGAAGAAAAGATATTCAGGCAAGAGAAGAATTAAGTGAAATTTGTACTTTTCCATAGTAGTTCCACGTTTTTTTTTCTTTGAAAGTGTAAATTGCAGCAGCAATTGCGCATTAACCTCAAAAATCTACAATTGCTAGCTTTATACTTTTTCGCCTACTTGCTGTAATTTTCTGGTACAGCTAAATGAATCGAAAACATATCAGCACTGTGAATTTAGCCCTAACAGTAGCATGGAAACTACGGATGATGAAATTAGCATTTATCTTTTCGATATGAAAGTAGCTTTAAGTTATCAGTTAGTTTAGCATTGAAATCTTTTGAAATATGATACCTTTAACTTTAGCATAATACTTTAAAATTAAACTTTAGCATAATACTAAGTGTATCTTTGGAACTACGATACCTTTAACTTTAGCATAATACTAAAATTTCTAGGATTTGCTGGCGACTTGCGAGAAGATCAGAGATGACGCGATACAGGAGATCGAGTCGAAAAGGAATCGACAAGCGGCTGGGGACGATGCTGAGGTTAATTTATGTTTTATAATCTTTACACATTCCTAAAAATGATGGTTTAGAGAGATGGGGAACAGTTACCGTAAAAACTGTAATAGTACCCCACCGCCCTCGTAAAGTCGCGTAGTCGTTCAAAGTTTTTTAGTATTTCATTGTTTTTTAAAGCACCTGTACTTTCAAAAAATGCGTCTTTGGTATCAAAAAATAGGCCTGAATTTCAGCTATTTTTTGATACCTAAGCGCGCATTGTAGCATAAACCAGTGTCGAGAAAAACGCGTACAAAGCTCGACTACGCAACGCTCCGCACCGTCATTATCGGGGTGGGGTACTATTACAGTATTTACGGTAGGTTCTTTTTTTATTGAAAAGAGCATGTTTCAAAACCCTAAAAAACATCTTTAGAGAAACTACTAATTAAACAAAAATTTTCTAGTTTTTCTAAAAAGCTTTTTCTAGAGTTTCTTCAAATTTCTTTGGATAGATGATTTTAGTTTAAAAACACTTTCATTCAACAATTAAAAATCAGGCTTGGCTTTTGACTTTAGCTTTTGACTTTTTAGGGCTTTCAAACATGCTCTTTTCAATGAAAAACAAATTAACGTAGTAGCTGTTCCCTATTTCTCTAAACCGTCATTTTTAAGGATGTCCAAAGAATGACTACACTATTTGACTGAATGACTTTGATTTACTTTCATTTTACTGTTTTTTACAGACTTCTTTCAAGAGTATTTTGTGTTATTGTAGCTTTTCTAGTATTTGGTTTAGGTTCAAAGATTACGTGTTGAAACGGAAAGATTACGACGAGAAGTCCGACAACTGCAACGAACGGTGGCTCAGCAAAATGAGATGATAAGAAACACAAAGAGTTCAGAAGAACGAAAAGTGGCTACGGTAAGGCTTTTTTTTATAGCAATTATGATTTAAAATCGATTTAGGAAGAGGTGGCAAAATGGCACGAGAAGAAACGAGCTGAGCAATCGATCGAGTTTTTGAAGAAAAAGCTAAAGGTAGGGTTTGTATTAAGCTGTTTAGAAAGTTTTTTCGTTTCTTTTCATACTTTCGTTATAAAATAACAAATTCACCAATTAATATATCGTTTTCTCTAAATAAAAAGTCTAAATAGAGTTATTTGTTCAATTTCCATCTTTTTAAGTCAAATTTGGCTTAATTTCAAGCAAATTCGAGAGTCAAAACACTTGTTTTTCCTAGAAATCTTTAAAAGCCTCTACGAAGACATTGGATGAATGAATTTCTCTGAAAATTTAGCTATATACCAAACTTTTTATCCTCTATCTTTTATCTATTGACACGAAGATAGATTTCCTTAGCGCAAAGTGTCTAAACCGCATCATTGAGCCGTCCTTTTTGTCTACCCAACTTCACACTCTCAAAAAAATCCACACATAAGACATTTTAAACTCGTTTTAATGTTATTTTGCAGAAAAATAATTGGCCTTTCTAATGAAAGAAATCGTAGTTTAATTGATGGATTTGTTGGTTTTAAACAGAAATACGAAAAGAAACGAAAATTTGGCTATATACCAAACTTTCTGAAGAAGTTTAATAATCTTTGAAAAAAGGAAATCTTAATTCTAAAAATTCAATTTTAGGAAACAAGCGACCGCGAAGGAGATCTCAAACAAGAGCTTGCAAAACTCGAAAGGAGAATCGATGAGATGAAAAGAGATGAAAGCACAAGACAAAACGACGTAGAGAGATTAGAAAGGAGGTAAAAATACCTTTGTTTGTTGACTATAACTTTGTTTTACCTCTGTGGCTTCGAGCTTAGGCTCTGTTCTGTAGGTTCTGTAGAACGCCTAGGTTATGTAAAACGCTTAGGTTCTGTATAACGCTTAGGTTATGTAAGACGCTTAGGTTCTGTATAACGCTTAGGTTATGTATAACGCTTAGGTTATGTAGAACGCTTAGGTTATGTATAGCGCTTAGGTTATGTATAACGCTTAGGCTATGTATAGCGCTTAGGTTATGTATGACGCTTAGGTTATTTATGACGCTTAGGTTATGTATAACGCTTAGGTTATGTATAACGCCTAGGTTATGTATAGCGCCTAGGTTATGTAAAACGCTTAGGTTATGTAAAACGCTTAGGTTATGTAGAACGCTTAGGTCCTGTAGGTTTTGTTTAGATTCTGTAGAACGGCATGGCTAGATTCTCAAAGTCGATATATCCCGAAAATGCTTTCAAATCCTACTTATCATAAGCCATTTTTGAAATCTAAGCCTTCAAAGTGTAGGCTTCGATACTCAAAAAGACGGCTAAGTCAATTATTCAAATGTCGGAGCTTTTTTTTTACATCAAACTAACATTATTTAAGAGATTACTGTTCAAAAAAGTAATTTTCGAGTGTTTTTCTAAAAAAACCTTGTTTGATCTTGTAAATCTTGTTTAGATCTTGTAAAAGTAAATGTAAATCTAAATGTAAATCTAACTGTATAAACTTGTAAATTCAAATCAGTACGCATAACTCCTCACAAAAATATTGTAATGACTCAATTTTTAGATTACGAGAAAGTCGAAGTGCAAAGGATGCGGCCGAGCATCAACTTCAGCAAATTGAGCTGTTAAAGGCTCGAATTGGATCACTTGAACAACAATTAGCGAAAGTGAATCGGGTAAAAAGCAAAGAAAATCGACAATATTATTGTTTTTATTTAGGAAAATGAAATTCTGGCTGCCGAAGTGCACAAAGAGCAAACGAGGAACGCGCAATTACAGGAGAACCCTCGAAAATCGTCGAGAGTGATGGAGGTGTTCGAGTCGGAAACGCAAACAAGTTGGCTTATTGAGCTTACTAACTAGAATAATCTTAATATGGGTCAATTTCATTTAAAGAAACCAAACTTGATCTAAGAAAGTGCTTGTCTTGCAAAACTAAATGAGATCTGACTGGATATAAAACGAATAGAAATTTTCTAATTTTCTCAGGCAAGTAATGTTGTTGATAAGTTAGATAAGTTGAAGACAATGTTGTGCCAATGACAATGACAATTTTGTGATTCTTTTGATTTTAAAAAGTTTTCAGGTCCACCAAAGAGAACACCAGTTAATGCTGAGGATGTGGTTAGTGCGGCTCTTCCGCCAATCGTTGGAAACGGACGAAAGAATGGTAAGGAACTCCTTCAAATTGATAGAGAAATGATAGAACTGGCAAGAAAAAGATTTCCGGAGAATTGAACCCTTGACCTTCGACTTTCCACTTGCTTTTGCTCTAACCAGAGCTATTCGGTACCTTAACTTGCCAAGAGAAAGAGGGAAAGACAAGGGAGAAGAAGAAAGAAAGAAGGAAAAAGAAAAGAAGAAAGAACCGGTTGATCATCTCGTACAGATTGACTATTAGATAGCATTTTCAGTCTTCTATTCAAATACTTATTATTAAAAGAACATTTATTCACACGAATAATGTGGTACAAACAATACACAAACATAACCTCTAAGTCCTAAAGGTAAAGAAGAAAAAAAACCGATAATCTAGTCAGCGGGATTGAACCCTTGACCCTCCCGACTAAGATTAAAGGGCCTTAGCCAGTCGGCCATGGCAGCCATGTAAATCTTGCTCTAGTCTACTAATTAATAATCCTTTTTTGTTTTAGGAGCAAGCAATTCCCTATCTGCAATCTCAAAAGAGAAATCCAATGGATTTAATCGTCAAAATGACGAAGCTTTGGCGGAATTGAGGAAAAAGTTGAGATTGGTAAGGAATTTGAAAGGTTTTTGGTAGAAAAAAAATGCACTAGAAAGGGTGCGTTTCCATTTTTGAGTACACCAAGAACGTTAGTCATCAGAATTTTCAGGCTGAGATCCGCTATGAGGAAACGGTGGAGAGATTGACAGCGATAGAGCGGGAATACGAGATACTCAATAAGGTTGAATTGAAATTTTGGTTAGAAAATTTAGCAAATCCAGCTCAAATCCAAATCCAAATCCAAATCTTTTCATGAAATTTGGATTTGATAGCTTGTTAAAGCTTTGGATTTGAAAAAGGATTTGATTAAAATTTGATTTGATTGATTGAATTTGTTTAAAATTTGAGAATATGCTTCTATCAGCTTATCAGAAAATATGAAATCATCTTGTATAGCTGATAACACCTTTAAAAGGCTTAGTTTAATTCCAAAATATTTGTAAAATATTTAATTATCTTAATCTTATGGAAATTTAATGTTTTAATTCAGGAGCACGGTCGCGTGGTAAAACGGTGGAACGCCCGGGAAACTGGCACGCATCCAAGTGGTAAGGAAATGAAAATTTTATATACTGTAACTCTAATAGAAGCCACCCTGTGGGAGCGTCGCGTAGTCTAAGTTTACTTGCAAACAAACGCTTAATGCAACGCACCGTTAATGCAATCAAATGCAGTGAACAGTTGGGAAAGGTGAATGAATCCCTGAAGAAGAATAGGCCCTCCAAGTCAAAGATCGTTCCCATCCATGACAACGCGCGCCCTCATGTTGCAAAACTGACTCGCTCTAAAATAAAGAGCCATGTTTGGGAACTTTTGGCGCATTCCCCATACAGTCCGGACCTCGCCCCTTTTGGTTACTATTTATTCCGGATCATTAGTAATGAGCTTGCGGGAGAACATTCGGACGAAGCAGTCAAAAATTGACTTTGAAAGTTTTTCGATTCGAAACCAAAATCCTACTACGAAAGAGGAATCCGCAAACTGCCTGTAAAATGGGCAGAAGTCGTCAATAATAATGGAAATTATTTGGAATGAATTGATGGTTTTATGTTGAATAAATTTTAGTTCAAAGTCCCGCAGTTTTCAATTCACCAACCCAATATTTTCCACAAACTCCTCTCCCTCATTTTTGTTTAGATCTCTGGGATTTAATTTGAAAAAAACATGCCAAGTCATACCCACCAACCCAATAATATTTATTTTAAATAAACATGATATAATAACATCATTAACTTCATTATAACATCATTATAACATCAAACAGCTCAGTAATAGAATTTTATATGAATATGTTATCTTTCAGCTGCCGTCGCCGTGCTCAGCGACAAACTCCAAGCGAAAGATCGGGAGATCGCGAATTTGGTGAGTAATCTAAGGAAAATAAGTAAATATTAAAAAAAAAAGATAAATATTTATAAAGATAGGTATTTGATTTTATTCCTTATCTACAGTACTGGACAATGAAATATCATATTTGAAAAACGATCGTCACTTTCGCGCGTCTGTAACTTCCTTGTCTTTGAGTTTAAACTATTAGTGTTATACATTTTCTGAAAGCTCTTTTCAAGGGCTACACAATGGTAATATTAATATTTAGAAATATGGTATTTTTTGACGCATTTCAGCGCGCACAAGATGGGATACTCAAAATTGTTGATTTTCAAAGCCGTTTTTCTTTATGATAGAGTGCTGGAATCGCTCTGAAACTATGATTTTCGGAATCTACGCAAAAATTTACCTTAGAATCATCAATATTTGTAAAATTTTATCACAGTTTCATAGCGAAAAAAACCACATTTGCCAAATTCTCACTTCTTGAGCGGTCAAGCGAGGAAGAAGCTGGAAAACAAATATTTAACAAAAATGTAGTTAAATTAAAAAGTAACAAAAACAGTAACAATAATGAGAAAACCCCAGAGCACACAATGGGCTTTCAGTATTTAGTAGCAAATCCTTTAGCGTCGATTACAGCTTGACATCGCCGAGGCATTGAGTCAAGAAGATTAGTGATGAAGCTGACGGCGATTGAATTCCAAGCCTGCTCCAATTGTGCAAACCTCTCGTCGGCATTGCCGGCTTTGAGATTCTTAGTTCGTCGCTCAAGTTTCGACTTTTCGAACTTTAGATCGTTATAGAAATCTGGAGTCAACCGACTGAGAGACGGTAAACTGTTCCGATAACTGGTTCTGGCTAAGACCTTGCTTTTTGCCGTTAAGGATTGCTTGTTGTGTAAGCACATGAAGATCCTTGCATCCTCGTTGCGTTTCCATTGCTCCTAAAAACAGTAATTATTATCATTTTACCCAAGGCAAAGAAAGAAAAACATTCAAAGTTGCACGCAACACAATTTTTGTGAAGAACCGCTCAAGAAGTGAGAATTTGAAGAAGAAGTGAGAAATGTGGTTTTTTTCGCTATGAAACTGTGATAAAATTTTACAAATATTGATGATTCTAAGGTAAATTTTTGCGTAGATTCCGAAAATCATAGTTTCAGAGCGATTCCAGCACTCTATCATAAAGAAAAACGGCTTTGAAAATCAACAATTTTGAGTATCCCATCTTGTGCGCGCTGAAATGCGTCAAAAAATACCATATTTCTAAATATTAATATTACCATTGTGTAGCCCTTGAAAAGAGCTTTCAGAAAATGTATAACACTAATAGTTTAAACTCAAAGACAAGGAAGTTACAGACGCGCGAAAGTGACGATCGTTTTTCAAATATGATATTTCATTGTCCAGTACTGTATATAGAAAATAAATTCTAACTTTTAATTTGCATATCTAACTTCAGAAAACCCGAATTGGTCACCTCGAACGACAGATCTCCGAATAGACTCCGAAAAACAGCTCAAAACACAAAAATTTCTGTGATTTCCCTTTAAAAACACTTATTTTCTATTAGAAAATCAAATTTTACCCTTAATTTTATCCCTTTTATTTTATCCCTTTTATTTTATCCCTTAATTTTATCCCTTTATTTTATCCCTTAATTTTATCCCTTTTATTTTATCCCTTAATTTTATCCCTTTTATTTTATCCATAAATTTTATCCCTTTTATTTTATCCATAAATTTTATCCATAAATTTTTTTCAAAATTGACTAAAGTTCCAAAATTCTTGATCAAAAATCGTTCAAAAATGGCTCAAAAATGGCTCAAAAAAAGCAAATTACCAAGAAGTGATCCCGAGACTCAAAATAACTCTCAAAGTATCAATTATCATCATCAAAATGACTCAAATTTCTCAAATTTACGTCAATCGAGTAAATTTGGATGTAAAAATATATTGAAAATAGAAAAAAAAAGAAATTTCGTAAAATTTTCCCGGATAAGATTACTTTTTTGACTCAAGTACGAGATCGAATGACTCTAAAAATAAGAGTTATACGATTTCATTGAAATAGCTAAAATTGAAATGGATAAAAATTGAAATGGCTAAAATTGAAATGGCTAAAAAATTGAGTATTCAAGTGTAGCTACGATAGATGGCGGTACTTTAGGGTCCTCGGTGGCCCTGGAAGAGCTCTAGGGTCCTTATGGGGGCTGAAGGGGAGCGGGCGGGCGGGTCACCAGATACTCCCGCCCACTTCAATCCCTCCACCGATCATTAGATCATTCGACATCTATGTATAGTATAAAAACCACCCCCAGATATAGCGAGGTTTTAGTTTTTTTAAAAGATTTACTTATCTATTAGATTGTTCGGATATAAACAAGCGTTGCTGAGATTTATTGTTGTGAGAGAAGGTTTTAAAAAATGTGTTTCTGTATTTAAAAGCACGCATTTAAAAGCACGCATTTAAAAGTACGCATTTAAAAGTACGCATTTAAAAGTACGCATTTAAAAGCACGCATTTAAAAGCGTTATCTTGTGCATATTTGGAATCTTTTTAAACGGATAATTTCTTATTTTTAATATCTTTTTTTCTTGCTTTAGATGGCCGACTTCAAATATATAAAGTTTGCGTCTACTTTACTTATCAATAAGCCCACTTTACGACTTCAAACTCGGCAAAACAGTAGCGGAATCTTATTGAGATTTGGTCAAAGCATTTGGGAATGATGTATTGTTTGAAAGCCGATGCCGAGCTTGGTCCCAACGCTTTCGGAATGGTGATGAAAGTCTCGAGGATGATAAACAAGGTCTTGAGGCCTGGTCGACTTCAAGCGGTAGACAACGATACTTTGAGGGCTGCAATCGAATCGGATCCATGTCAAACGACGCGTGAACTTGCTCAACATGTTCATGTTGTTCAAATTGTTGTTGTTTTTGTTCTATGTTCAAATTCTACTATTGATGAGCATCTTCACGCCATTGGAAAGACGATCTGATGTGTGAAATGTCTTCCTCACGAGTTAAGCAGTGCAAATACTCGTTTTTATCCGAAAAACCTAATAGAAAGAATAGTAAATTGAAACTATCTTTGTCTCCAACTAGAAATGGCTATCATTATCAAGCTTATCAAAGATTTGTGAATGATCACGATTGCTGAGATTTCTAGAGACTAATTTTTACAATTTATGCTATATATTTATTACCAAAATAAAGCTAGAAGAAAGGGCTTTCATCTAGAAAAAGTTCAAGTCGATCAGAAGTTTTAGTATTGAGCAATAGCTCCTCCCGCGCGGACACTCGAAAAGATTGATGTCTACCCCAACCATCTCGGATCTACATATTAGCCCTTAGCTCTCAAGTACCGTATTCAACACCGTATTCGATATTACGATTCGATTTTAAGGATTCGATTTTAAGGGCTCGATTTTAGCCATTTGATTTTAGCCATTCGATTGTAACGATTCGATTTTAACCATTCGATTTTAGTCATTCGATTTTAACCATTCGATATTAACCATTCGATATTAACGATTCGATATTAACGATTCGATTTTAAGGACTCGATTTTAACCATTCGATTTTAACCCTTCGATTTTAACCATTCGATTTTAAGGACTCGATTTTAACCATTCGATTTTAACCATTCGATTTTAACGATTCGACTTTAGCCATTCGATATTAACGATTCGATTTTAACCATTCGATTTTAAGGACTCGATTTTAACCATTCGATTTTAACCATTCGATTTTAAGGACTCGATTTTAACCATTCGATTTTAACCCTTCGATTTTAACCATTCGATTTTAACGATTCGACTTTAGCCATTCGATATTAACGATTCGATTTTAAGGACTCGATTTTAACCATTCCATTTTAACCATTCCATTTTAACCATTCCATTTCAACCATTCCATTTTAACGATTCAGTATTAACTTTTCCGAAGTCTACTTTGACTTAGAGCAATTCACAAACCGTGATTTTTAGCCAAATCTATTTTTTAGCCAAATCTATTCTTAGTCGGGTTGACACTTTGAAAATTCAAACAATTTCCCAAAAAAGCTGAAAAATCTCCGTCAAATCGCTCTAATTTGAAAAGATTTTTGACGTTCAAAAACTCCAACGTCAATGGGTTTCAAAAAATGAAAAAAAAAAGACAATCAAAAACTGGGGAATTTCCAAAGCCAAAGAAAGCTTTTTTTCTCAGTAGCCATTCAAAAAACTTCCGTCGCTTTTCAAAAATAAAATTTCTTTTTTATAGATTTCTCTTTTAGATTCTCTTCTAGTTTCTCTTTTAAATTCTCTTTTAGATTCTCTTTTTTCTCCACCCACTCTTTCGTTTCTCATTTTTTTCACGCCATTTTCTCATTTATCCAAATTTTGAACGTAAATTTTGACTGCTAAACGAATTTTCGAGAATTTTGAGAATTTCCTCGTTTTTCCTTTGTTCAGTTATGCTTTTTTTTTTCATTTAGCGCGCTTTTTAAAGTACTAAAGTTTTTTAAAGTACTTAAAGTACAATAGTTTTTGAAAGTAGCTCTCTCTCCTCGTTCGTTTCTTCCTTTTTATATTCTTTGTCGATAGTTTGTTGGTTAAAATTCGAATACGGTTTTATTTCGCTTCGTTTTTGGTTTCGTTTTCTTTTTGGCTCCTTTCACTCTATTATTTTGAATCCGTTCACACATGCCGCACTCAACTTAATCAATTTCCTTTTAACTAAAACGCAAATCTAAATAAACTGTCATCGCGAGATTTTTTTGTTATTTTATTGGGCTTCGTGTTAAATCATTTTAGGGTTGGTGAGTCTAAAGGTGTTAAGAAAGGGATTTAGTTATTAACTAAAGTGTTACCGTAAATACTGTAATAGTACCCCAGCCCCATAATGACAGCCGGAGCATGGCGTAGTCTAGCTTTGAACGCGTTTTTCTCGACACTGGTTTATGCTATTGGGTTGGTGGAAAAGTCCTTTCGGATTTTTTGGGAGAGTACCTTAAATTTGTCCAATTTTGACGTTTTATAGCTCATCCTAAAGCTGAATTCAAGGCGGATCGATTGGTAAAAACCAAACAAAAAAAAAGGGGAAAAACGAAGGAAAATCGCGAAAAGCGGCGGAAAAACTATTGATCTGAGGGTCGCTGGTTCGACTTCCACCGGTGACAATATTTGTCAAAAATTTTTTGCTAAGATTCTGAAAATTTGTGTCTAGGGGTTATTTTTGACGCTGATCACGAAAAACATGTTTTTAGCCTAGGTTTCTGCACGGAAAACTAACGAAACGTGAAAACAGCCATTTTTTGGCTCTGCCGCCCTTTACCAAAATAGCTGTAAAAACTTTTAGAAAAGAGATATCTCAAAACGGTTTTACCAATCGATCCGCCTTGAATTCAGCTTTAGGATGAGCTATAAAACGTCAAAATTGGACAAATTTAAGGTACTCTCCCAAAAAATCCGAAAGGACTTTTCCACCAACCCAATACAATGCGCGCTTAGTTATCAAAAAATAGCTAAAATTCAGAGCTATTTTTTGATACCAAAGACGCATTTTTTGAAAGTACGGGCGCTTTGCAAAAAATGAAATACTAAAAAACTTTTGCGACTACGCGACTGTACGAGGGGAGGGGGTACTATTACAGTATTTACGGTAGTTCTATCAAATTGTAACAACAATTACCGTATTCTCTCTAATAGTAGGGCGCACTACTATTTTTTGAACCCCCTCCTGGACCGCAATACTATTAGAGAGTGCACTACTATTAAAGAGTTTTATCATTTACCAAAGTAAGACTTGTTCCAAAAATTCTTGCAATTCTTTCACGTACTCCTTTGACTCCTTTGTCTTTAGCTCCTGACATACAGTTGTGGGCCGGCGAGTTGACAATTTGTGTCTTGACAAACAACAAAAAGATGTTTTTTGCACTTTGCGCAACAATTTGAGATTTTTTGCTAACTTTTTCATGTGAAGAATAGTTAATAAATGAATAAAAAAGCCTCACCTTTGGCTTGCTTGAATAGCTTTAGAATGTCACATAAACATAAAGTCAAAAAGGTTTAGATGAAAAAGAAGCACCAGAAATTCAAATTTTCGAGGGTGCACTACTATTTTTTCAACCCCCTCTCGGACCGCAATACTATTAGAAAGTGCGCTACTATTAAAGAGTGCACTATTATTAGAGAGTGCACTATTATTAGAGAGTGCACTACTATTAGAGAGAATACGGTATTAGTCAAAATTTCATTCTTGCAAAGTTTAAGTGCTTTGCTGTTAAGTGTTAAGAAAGGGATTTAGTTATTAACTAAAATGTTAGATTTAAACTTGTTTAAAGACTGCTAACTTGTTCTATTCGATCAATTCACTTATATTCTCAAAAATTTGCTTACCTAACGTTCAAATGAAAAAGTAATACTGCCACAAAACTTTTCCTTTTTCATTCTTTCTAATTGCAAATTCCTTGCTATTCTGATCGACTTGCTCTTTTTGACCTTAAACCCTTATCCC